TAGACCCAGGACTGAGGCTGTAGACCCAGGACTGAGGCTGTAGATCCAGGACTGCGTCTGTAGATCCAGGACTGAGGCTGTAGATCCAGGACTGAGGCTGTAGACCCAGGACTGCGGCAGTAGACCCAGGACTGAGGCAGTAGACCCAGGACTGAGGCTGTAGACCCAGGACTGCGTCTGTAGATCAAGGACTGAGGCTGTAGATCCAGGACTGAGGCTGTAGACCCAGGACTGCGGCAGTAGACCCAGGACTGAGTCTGTAGATCCAGGACTGAGGCTGTAGACCCAGGACTGCGGCAGTAGACCCAGGACTGAGGCAGTAGACCCAGGACTGAGGCTGTAGATCCAGGACTGAGGCAGTAGACCCAGGACTGAGGCTGTAGATCCAGGACTGAGGCTGTAGATCCAGGACTGAGGCTGTAGACCCAGGACTGAGGCTGTAGATCCAGGACTGAGGCTGTAGACCCAGGACTGAGGCTGTAGACCCAGGACTGAGGCTGTACATCCAGGACTAAGCTGTAGATCCAGGACTGAGGCTGTAGATCCAGGACTGAGGCTGTAGATCCAGGACTGAGGCAAGGCAAGGCAAGGCAAGTTTATTTATATAGCACAATTCATACACAAGGCAATTCAAAGTGCTGAACAAAACAAGAAAGCATTAAAATCATAAATAATCACAGAACATTAAAAAGAAAGATACAAATATAAAATCCCTCAGTTGTATGCACAGCTAAACAGAACTGTCTTTAACCTGGTTTTAAACATTGTCAGAGAGGAGGCCTGTATCACATCTTCAGGAAGATTGTTCCAGATTTTAGCAGCATGAATCTGAAAAGCAGCCTCCCCATGTTTAGTTCTGACTCTGGGCACTAACAGGAGTCCAGTCCCTGTGCTCCTCAGAGTCCGGGCTGGTTCATATGGGACTAACATGTCACTAATATATTTTGGTGCGAGGCCATGGAGAGACTTGTACACAAGCAGAGCTGTTTTAAAGTCTATTCTCTGAGCCACAGGAAGCCAGTGCAGAGACCTGAGGACTGGACTAATGTGGTCGTACTTCCTGGTTCTAGTCAGGACTCGAGCTGCTGCATTTTGAATGTACTGCAGCTGTTTTACAGCCTGTTTGGACAGACCTGTGAGCAGGCCATTGCAGTAGTCTAACCTACTGGAGACAAATGCATGGATAAGAATCTCCAAGTCTGCTTTAGACACTATGTTTTTGATTCTGGCGATGTTTTTTAGATGGTAAAAAGCTGCTGATGTTACTGATTTGATGTGGCTATTAAAATTTAAGTCTGAGTCCAGTATTACCCCTAGATTTCTGACCTTGTTTGAAGGTTTTAGGGAGAGAGACTGGAGGTGACAGATGACGTTCTCTTTGTTTCTGGGGACCAAAGACAATCATTTCAGTTTTGTCTGCGTTTAGCTGAAGGAAGTTGTTTTGCATCCACTCACTGATCTGTTGGATACAGTGAAGGAGTGAGTCCACTGGTCCATGTTCTCCTGCAGTCAGTGAGACATAGTGTCGTCTGCATAGTTATGATAGGAAACTTCGTTTCTGCGTATTAACTGACCTAACGGCAGCATGTAGAGATTGAACAGAAGAGGTCCCAGGATCGACCCCTGTGGGACTCCACAGGTCAGGGCCTTATGATCTGAGACACAGTTTCCAATCTCCACAAAGTACTTCCTGTCCTCAAGGTAAGACCTAAACCAACTTAGGGCGGTGCCAGCGACTCCAACCCAGTCCTCTAGTCTCTGTAAGAGGATCTCATGGTCGACGGTGTCAAAGGCAGCACTCAGATCTAACAAGATTAAGATTGAGACTTTGCCTGCGTCAGTGTTCAGCCGGATATCGTTTGTAACCTTAACAAGAGCAGTCTCAGTGCTGTGGTGGGGTCTAAAGCCGGACTGAAACATATCAAATGAGTTGTTGATTATAAGAAATCTATTTAGCTGTTGGTAGACAACTTTCTCAAGGACTTTCCCTTACCCTTTCCCCATAAATGGCAGATTTGAGATGGGACGATAGTTGTTACATACCGTAGCATCGAGACTGCTCTTTTTTAGCAGGGGCCTGATGACTGCAGTTTTCAGGGCCTTTGGGAATATTCCAGAATGAAGGGACATGTTTACTATCTGTGTGAGTGAAGGTAACAGACTGCTCAGAACAGACTTCAGAAATCTAGTGGGTAGTACATCCAAGCTGCATGTGGAGGAGCTCAAACTGGAGATTATCTCTTGGACAGTTTTATCATTTACAGGTGCAAAGTGAGTTAGCTCAAAGAGCCTTTCTGGCTGTTGGATGGTTATCTGTGGATTGGAGACAATGGCGTTTTTGATGCCTTGAAGGCTGTAGATCCAGGACTGAGGCTGTAGATCCAGGACTGAGGCTTTCTGCTGTTCACATAAACACACCAGGAAGCAGGAATGTGTGCCACTCATCATCTCTGGGGATCAACAGCTGAGTCCCCACACCCCAGGGGGCGCTCTAACAAAACAAAAACACATACATTGACCATAAAGGCTGCAGCGGCTTATAGTCCAACAAGTCCTGTACATGTGCTCCTCCCATGATGCTCCTCTCTCCCTCTGGAATGTGGAGAGCCCATTCTTCCACTTGGACATACACATTGTTTGCGTTTACAGAATGAGCGCAGAGGCACGAACAGTCTGTTGGAGTGATTGAGGGAGAGAAAGAGAGAGAAGGGGCCTCTCTCTCTTTGGTTCGACACCGATAGATGCTTCTCATGTGGGCAGCAGGAATGGGGGGGTCTCTCTCAAGGCACACCTCACACAGATGTGAGGCTACAGGGGTCTTATAGTCATAAAATCTCAGTCAATAACATCACAGGGTCAAAATAGTAAGTCAAAGAACCCTGCTCGGACACATAGTCTCTGGTCTCTCTTTCTGGTCTCCCTCTGGTGTCTCTTTCTGGTCTCTTTCTAGTCTCTCTCTGGTCTCTCTCTTTGATATCCCTCTCTAAAGTGTCTCTGGTCTCTCTCTTTGGTCAATCTGCATTTTTCTCTGGTGTCTCTCTCTCTCTGGTCTCGCTCCCTGGTCTCGCTCGCTCTCTGGTCTCGCTCGCTCTCTGGTCTCTGCCTGGTCTCGCTCTCTGGTTTCAGTCTCTGGTCTCGCTCTCTGGTCTCGCTCTCTGGTCTCGCTCTCTGGTCTCGCTCTCTGGTCTCGCTCTCTGGTCTCTCTCTCTGATCTCTGTCTAGTCTCTCTGGTCTCTGCCTGGTCTCTCTCTGGTCTCTGCCTGGTCTCTCTGGTCTCTCTCTGGTCTCTCTCTGGTCTCTCTCTGGTCTCTCTCTGGTCTCTGCCTGGTCTCTGCCTGGTCTCTGCCTGGTCTCTGCCTGGTCTCTGCCTGGTCTCTGCCTGGTCTCTGCCTGGTCTCTGCCTGGTCTCTGCCTGGTCTCTGCCTGGTCTCTGCCTGGTCTCTGCCTGGTCTCTGCCTGGTCTCTGCCTGGTCTCTGCCTGGTCTCTCTGGTCTCTCCCTGGTCTCTCCCTGGTCTCTCCCTGGTCTCTCTGGTCTCTCCCTGGTCTCTCTGGTCTCTCTCTGGTCTCTGCCTGGTCTCTCTGGTCTCTCTCTGGTCTCTCCCTGGTCTCTCTGGTCTCTCTCTGGTCTCTGCCTGGTCTCTCTGGTCTCTCTCTGGTCTCTGCCTGGTCTCTCTAGTGCCATTATTGTCGTAATGATCAAATGAAAATCAAAAGATAAAAGTAAACTCGCACCATTTAGGGCTTTAAAAAACACATGGTCTTGTGCTCTCTGTGATCCTGGTGTTTACACATTTTTGGACTAAATCACATTTTAATTCAACAAGTAATAAAACACGCCCACAGAGGACTCTACCTTTTCCTCAAGTCTCTCTACTGTTCACATAAACACACCAGGAAGCAGGAATCAACAGCTGTGTCCAAATACCTTCTTACACCACAGGGGGCGCTCTATATAGATGGCGGTTATAGTAAGTACTCTGCTTTTGCTTGACGGATCAAAACTTTCACACACATTTTCATCGTTTTGGTTTCAGTTTCATACAATTCAGGATAAAAAAAAACATGAGCTTTTGCCAGCCCCAAGCCAGGTTAAAGAATGCTCTATAAAAACTACAGTAATCCGTTGACATCCCATTCAAACCCATGGAATTCTGAGAAAAGGTTTCCAAAAAGTACAAACGAAAAGGCAACATTTGACTTGTATATTAGAAGGAATGGAGTTAGAAATAGACATGTGGTTTTTTTTAAATCAAAAACAAAAGATCATTTCATTTTGAAGAATAATGAAAAGACATAGTAATAAACTACAGAAAGAGAAACAAAGTTAGCAAGACTAAAAAGGTGACCGAGGAGACCAGAGAGAGAGAGACATCAGAGAGAGAGACCTGAGAGAGAGACCAGAGAGAGAGACATCAGAGAGAGAGACCTGAGAGAGAGACCAGAGAGAGAGACATCAGAGAGAGAGACAAGAGAGAGCTGAGGGAGAGACAGCAGAGACCAGAGAGAGAGACATCAGAGAGAGAGAGAGAAAGAGAGACCAGAGAGAGACAAGAGAGACCTGAGAGAGAGACCAGAGAGAAAGACAGAGAGAGAGACCTGAGAGAGACAAGAGTGACCTGAGGGAGAGACCAGAGAGAGACATCAAAAAGAGAGAGACATCAGGGAGAGAGAGACCTGAGAGAGAGACCAGAGAGAGACAAGATAGACCTGAGAGAGAGACCAGAGAGAAAGACAGAGAGAGAGACCTGAGAGAGAGACCAGAGAGAGAGACATCAGAGAGAGACATCAGAGAGAGAGACCAGAGGGAGAGACATCAGAAAGAGAGAGAGATCAGAGAGAGAGAGAGAGACCAGAGAGAGAACAGAGAGAGAGAGACATCAGAGAGAGAGAGCAGATAGAGCGCTGCATGCACGGAGTATCCACACTTCCAAAACTAAAACCCGTCACATTGACTGCTCTGGGAGTTCCATGATCTGAACAAACGTTGAACGCCTCTTACCTCTCGCCGCTGTGAGAGCCCTGGCCCCCTCCTCCAAACGCAGTCTCTCATTTTTAGTGTCTGACCCCGGGAAAAGCCTGCGCCCGCTCCCCTTCACACCAGTCCGCTCTCCACGCTCCTCTCTCGGCTTAAAACTCTAGTAATCCAACCCCCGACGGATCTCACACACACACACACACACGCACGCACAAATATACACACACAACCACTCACACACACACGGAGGAAAACTCTTGCAGAAAAGTGCAAAAAAGTTGGTCAAAATGCAGTCAGAATAATCCCTTATATGGTCCAGCGTGCACGGCCTACATCGCCACTGCTTCTGTCTATCTGTGAGACATTCTTTCTTTTCTCTTTCTGCAAACTTCTCAGCCCTTCCTCCTGATACTACCCTCCCCTACCCGTGTCCAGCTCTCTCTCTATCCCCCTGTCCCACCCACCCACCCACCCACACCCCCCGCTGCCTCTGAACTCATCTGCAGCCGGCCCGAGTGATTGGGAGGAAGGGGAGAAGCTGGACCGGACAGAGCTCATGCAAAAGTGACTCCGCTGGGATGCAATTACACTGTGGCTCTGGTCAGTCCTCTCATGTGGAGACAGAGACACGGATCTGCAAAGAGAGTTTACACTGCCTCGGACTAGACTTTAAAGTAGATCTCTATTTGTGGACAAGTCTCTCCCTGGCCCTGCACCAAAATACATCCTGGACTTGTTTGTGTCATATATGAATGAACTGGGGACTCTGAGGAGCACAGGGACTGGTCTCCTGCTGGGACTCTGAGGAGCACAGGGACTGGTCTCCTGCTGGGACTCTGAGGAGCACAGGGACTGGTCTCCTGCTGGGACTCTGAGGAGCACAGGGACTGGTCTCCTGCTGGGACTCTGCACTGTAAAGTTTGATTGGTAACCCTTACTCAAAAAAAGTGTGGACACTAATTGCACACAATTTAATTGAGTAACTGTTATCAACAATCAGATCAGGTAAAGTCTGCATGAAATAATGTATTAAGCTTTACTCTTGACCAGGTAAAGTTTACTCACAATAAATTATAAAACCTTACTCCAGTGCGAATTAAAGTTTACCAATATAAATTAGTAAAACATAACTCATTGTTAATGTGTATAGTCTACTTAAAATTATCTATGAGACCCTACTTTTAGCCAATTGCACTTTACTCATACAGGTTACCAAAATCTTACCCTTCCACATTTGTTTACTTTGGATTATCTATTCAGCCCTGATGGACTAGTTGTACCATACCATCTATCAACTTTCTACCCCTTAGTTCAGCCATTCCCAAACTCAGTAACACTGAGGCCCCCTTAAAAATCTGACGGGTCTGCGTGGCCCCCCAAAATAATAACCAAGAAGACAACATTAAGAATAGGCTCTTCTGGTTATTTTATTTTGGGGAAATAGCCTCTGCTACAAACATTGTAATACAAAAATGATTACAGTGGATTATTCAAGTCAAATAATGAACACAAATATTTTAATATTACAAACAAAACATTATAAATCTAACATTAAATAATTATATTATTTTTTAATTTTTTTTATGACCTCCCGCGGCCCCCCTGCAGTACCCTCGCGGCTCCCAAGGGGGCCGCAGACCCCACTTTGGGAGACACTGCCTTAGTTCATTTCTGAGTCAGGGGGGGGGCAATCATAGATGCCATCGAAGTTCCATAGCACCAGCCCTTCACTGATCCTCTGCAGGTGGTGAACGCATTTACAGGCGAGTATCACGCAAGCATGAAAGCCCATATGTGGTACGGGTATTTTTTAAAGTAAATCTGCAGCAGTGACCGATGCTTTGGCATGACCCGGTCGATTACGGTTGGTGAAAATAAATACAATTAAATATTTGATCAAATTACTTTATTCAAAATGTTGCTCAAGTATTTTGCTTTAGGAATTGCTTCCTATTCACTGTTAAAACTAATGCTCAAATGTAGAATTTTTAAAAGTTTATATTTTGCTCTGCAGTGCATTCTGGGTAGCACCACTGCTTCACCACATTTTGTTTTCAATCAACACAATATATTTGTGTTGTCATTAATGGACCACCAGGCTTACAGCAGAAGTATTTTCACTTAATGCAATAAAATCAGTATTGTACAGGGTGCTATGATAATATTATACAGTACTTATTTGTCAAACAAAAATATAAAATAGTGGAAAATGAAGTATATAGTAATTACTTAAAATATTTTACATCAAGGTTTGGTCTGATTCACTTATTACAATGTAGAGTTTGCTTTCTGCTCTCCCTGTATAACTGTATACACAGCGGTGAGAAGGCACAGGTGTAAAAGCACAGGATGGCGCTGAGGCAGGAAGTGACCGTAGCCATGAGGTGAAAAACTGAACTGCGCATGTCGTAAAAGATTACTCAAGTAATTCCCGCATCAATTTGTTTATTAACTTAAGTAAAGTACTGACTTTACAGACACCTTTCAAGTATTGTCTGATGCAGAAATACCATAGATGATACACACCAACACTTATGAAATGAAACTCAACTATGTCATTTAAAAGTTAGATTTTGACATGAATTGTAAAGGTTACTAATAGTGTGTGGGTGAACAGTAAACTTGGAGAAAAATCAAGTAAAGTATGATCAATAATTTTAGGTGAGGCGGATATATGGATTTACAGCGTATGGAGCACAGGGACTGGCCTCCTGCTGGGACTCTGATGAGCACAGGGACTGGCCTCCTGCTGGGACTCTGATGAGCACAGGGACTGGCCTCCTGCTGGGACTCTGATGAGCACAGGGACTGGCCTCCTGCTGGGACTCTGATGAGCACAGGGACTGGCCTCCTGCTGGGACTCTGATGAGCACAGGGACTGGCCTCCTGCTGGGACTCTGATGAGCACAGGGACTGGTCTCCATGTTGGGACTCTGAGGAGCACAGGGACTGGTCTCCTGCTGGGACTCTGAGGAGCACAGGGACTGGTCTCCTGCTGGGACTCTGAGGAGCACAGGGACTGGTCTCCATGTTGGGACTCTGAGGAGCACAGGGACTGGTCTCCTGCTGGGACTCTGAGGAGCAAAGGGACTGGCCTCCTGCTGGTGCCCAGAGTCAGGAATAAACATGGGGAGGCAGTGCTTCAGATGAATCCAGCTAAATCCATGGAACAGTCTTCCTGGAAATGTTCAAATCCAGGTTAAAACAGTTCTGTTTATGCAGACCACTCTACTGTGATTATTTATGATCAATTTATTATTTTATTTCATGTTATTTTATTTTTAATGTTTTTGCTGTTACTGGACATCTATCTATCTATCTAATGTTTCTTGTCTGTTTTCTCTTTCTGCCTATAGGAGACAGTTTCATTTACCTGAAGACTTGCTTTTGAGGAATTCACTTTTCATTTTGAGAAGGTGACGCACTTTTGCAGGTTATCCACGAGGGTTTGCAGTTTGCACTAATTGTTCTGAGAAATGCACAAACTGTTGTGAAAATGTGAAGAATGATGTGAGAAATGCACCAAAGCGACTGAGAAAAACTGTATGTAACGCGAACAAGTAGTATATGGAGCCCCCTGCTGGACGCGTGTGGTAACTACTATCCTCTCCTGCTTTATCCGTCTCATCATTGTGGTTTTAGCTGCTTTGTCTGTTTCTTGCTATTCACCCATTATCCCATTGTCTGTTTCATGGCCCACACCCTCAGTCCTTGTTCTCTTTGCAGACATTTTGATTCTCTGATCTGTTGTTGGCAAATCCACAACTTAGTAAAGTCCTCAGAGACACCTGTGATTTCGGGCTATCGCAAATACATTTAAGAATTCCTTTATTCGTCCCACAGAGGGGAAATTTCAATGTTGCAGCGCAATTGAATAGATTTATTATTAGGGGTGGGAACCTAAGGGTACCTCACGATACGATACGATACGCGATACAAAGCTCACGATAACGATTATATCACAATAACAATTCTATCACGATATGACGATTATCAATATATTGGTCAGAAATATACCAAATGCTAATATATGGCATACATAAAATAGAAAAATGTGAAGTGAAAAAATACACTTTATTTTATGATAAATGGAATGGAGATTTGTAATGTAGTCATATATTAAGTATTGATACTAATAAAAAAATCAATATATCGTCACTCTCCTGTTTGTTATAAAACGGACTCAGTGAGAAAGTGAAAACAAAGAAAACACAGGGGGACTAATAAAAAGGAGAAAATTACAGGATTCTTTGGTAATAATAGAATATTTCGGGAATGTGGTCGAAAATCCCATTCATTCACAAGTGTCACTCTCTTCTCCCATTACACTGCCATTAATTAAAAAATATTTGTAAAAAGCTTGAATATAAAAACACTAGCACTATCAATTTGACCAAGTGAAAATATTATACTGGCTAATAAAAAAATAAAAACATTAATACAGAAAAAAAATAACAAATCTAAAAATTGGGATTGAATTAGATTTACATTTTTGACTTATTTTTCATTACTTTTTGCAGTGTGTCTGCTCAGGGGTTTGTTTGCTGGTTTGTTCCTGGTTTATTGCTGGTTTATTGCTGGTTTGTTACTGGTTTGTGGCTGGTTTGTTGCTGGTTTGTTGCTGGTTTGTGGCTGGTTTGTTGTTGATTTCTTCCTGGTTTCTTGCTGATTTCTTGCTGGTTTCTTGCCAATTTCTTGCTGATTTCTTCCTGATTTCTTGCTGGTTTGTTGCTGATTTCTTGCTGGTTTGTTACTGATTTCTTGCTGGTTTCATGCTGGTTTCTTGCTGGTTTCTTGATGGCCTGGTGCCTGCTGCGTCTGGTCTCCGTGTTGTTGCACATTGCTCTGCTACTGGCTCTAAACACACAGATATAAAAACATGAATTTATACCATTTTTCAAGTGTTTAAAAATCGTAAAATATTGTCATAAATAATTGTAAATAAACGTGACATTTGATAATTAATGTTTGGCCGTGTTGAAGACCAATCCCACGTTAACAGACAGATGTGTGGCATGTAGAAGGCCTCCTGCTGACCTCTCTTCCCACAAACCCTGACCCTTCCTTTGAAATGCAGCCCTGACCCACAGAGAGCAGAGAGAGGGGGGGGGGGGGGGGGGGGACAACAAAGGTGTTGTCCCAGGCAACACCTTTTGTGTTGCCTGGGACATCAGCTGGGACCTTAGACAGACAATGCTAACCTGCTAGCTCAATGAAGCCCAATAGGGAAGTGCTCATGAGTGAAGTTTTGCTCCAACTCGCTCCGGCTGCAATTGACTTACATTGAAAAGTATACTTCTCTAGCTCCTCTGGGATTCTTTCTGTTGTGATAAACTGTATTGAGCGCACTGTGGCTGATCAAATAATAAAATAATAAGACAATAATAAACTCTGGAGCTATAATTGCACTCGATCCATTACAAGGTATTTGTTGATGTTTATAATGTACTTTAGCATCAGAGAATATGTTGCTGCTGCTGTTGATAAACTAGTGATAACAGCAGCAGGTAAAATGGACGGTGGATTATCAGAGCAGAGTCAGCAGACGAATGGAATATATATAATGATAATAGCAAATATGGTGACTGATGGGTTATCAGAACAGGTGAATGTCAGATGTCCAGGCTCAGTAGTTCTCATTGTACAGTCTGACAGCAGCAGGAAGGAAGGACCTGCGGAACCCCTCCTTCACACAGAGTGCAAATGCTTATTGGGCTCCAACCCCTCTTGTCTAATCAACTAGAAAGGCACGATGCAACAACTACAGCATGTACCATAGACTGAATATTTTTGCACAGCTTGCCTGAAACGTCAACTCTCTCTAAATAATAAAAAAAAGATACATGTCTCCCTCTGCTGGCCAAAACAGCGCACTGCAGCCATTAACACCAAGTCTCCAACAGCGAAAATTACGATTCTATAAACCAAATATTACAGGCTTTTACGTTTTATTATTTTGCTTTAAATCATATAAATTACGTACAAATTCAAAAGCCACAAGATAATATAACCTAAATCGAGTATACAAAAACGTTTTCAATAAATGATCATTCGTCGCTGATGACGTAAGTGACGTCATATGCGGAAGTAAGCGTTCGCATTATGTCAGGTCTGTTTTGTTTTCAAAGGAATGTCGCTGATGTTTTTCACGTAGCGTCTTTTCTCAAGCGAACACGTGTTTTTATAGTCGGAAAATAATCGTATTTGTTTTTAATAGAATTGGAAAAGACGTGAAACAGCAGCGAGATAGGATGAAGTTGCTCAAGACTCGCGTTGACGTTAGCAGGTAGCATTGGTTTGCTCCTGACGGCTGCAAATGTATCGAAAATGTCGCAATAATTCTCTTTATGTAACACCTGTCTAATATCATTGCAGCTGTAGCCCTGTTGTGTCATCCCAACATGGCGTTATTATCTGCAGTGAGAGCAGTGCTAACCTTTAAAAACACCATTCAAAGGTCCTGCTTATTAGTGAGATTCTATGAAAACTCCAGGATCTGTCTTGTTAGAAAGAGGCCTGCGTTATTACACATACACAAGGCTTCTCTACTATGCTTTAGTGCTGTCAGTGTCTCCTCCTGTGTTGCGAGATGCCAGGAAGCCACACTGATCAAACCAACCATCACTGAGCGAAAATCTGTGGCCAAAGTACAAGTGCATAAACTCATATTCTTCCTTCGCCTTAGCTTCAGCGCTTTAGTGCTTCTCCTGAAATTTGGCCCTCTTGTACTCTTATCCCCATTCATTTTTGTGTCTGCTCGATGGGGCTCCAAATGGCTGGACCTCCTCCTGTGGATGACTGAAACTTCTGGTCCAACTTTCATCAAACTTGGACAATGGGCCAGCACCAGACGAGACATATTCCCCAAGGACTTCTGCGATCGTTTCTCCAAGCTGCACGTCCAGGTCAGACCCCACTCCTGGTCCCACACCAAGCAGTGTCTCCGTCGGGCTTTTGGGGAGGAGTGGAGAAGGGTGTTTGTGTTTGAGAGCAAGGAGCCGGTGGGGTCTGGCTGCGTGGCTCAGGTTTACAGAGGATGGGCCAGGGCTGACAGGGTGGAAGATCCAGTCTTTCAGATACTGGTGGAGGAGATGGACAAAGAGGGCCTGCTGGAGGCTTGGGAGATCCCAGGTCTGAAGGCGGTGACTGGGGCACTGAAGAGGCTCTGGACCAGCAGGATGCAGGACGAAGCCCGGGAGAAACCGCAGTGGAGAGAGGACGCAGAGACTGAGAAGGAAAATCTGATACCTGTAGCTATAAAGGTAAGCTGTTGTTGAGGTTGTAGTCTTTATTTTGAATGATTCATTTGTCATTATACAATACAACATACAAGACAAAATACATAGTTATTCCTAGATAGATAGATACTTCCCGTAGGAGACATTCAGGGGTCAAGCAGCAGGAACACACCCATCCATACAAACAATTTAATATATAATTCTAAAAGTGGCTATCAATAGTACAGCAACAGCACTTTAGGTCACAGCAGCAGAAGTGGTCACTGCCATAATTTATACAATTCGAAAAAAAACTAGTTGGTAGAATTAAAACTTATGATTCTTTCCACTTTTTCCACTTTTTTTGTTTCTTTTACTGTATTACAAATGATTCAATTGAATTTACCGTCAGAACTTACATAACATCAGATATTTCTCTTCATTATAATTCACACTCATTACCATAAACAGTCATATTGACAACACAACATTGAAGTGTTGTGGCGTCCGTAATCAAGATAATGTGTCTTTTATTGGGAAAATACATTTATGCTTCAGATTTGGTTCAATTACATGAGCTTCTGACTCCAGTACACTTTCTATACAGCGACCTGGCTCTACACAAGCGTTTCCATAAATATTTCTTACATATTTTTCTTTTATTTCATTTCACATTACATTTCTAAAAAGCAATGTTTGTACAGTTGGTAAACCTTTAGCTGTATGTTAGCATCGTCCATCTGTATACAGTCTATGTTAGCATTGTTCATCTGTATACAGTCTATGTTAGCATTGTCCATCTGTATACAGTCTATGTTAGCATTGTTCATCTGTATACAGTCTATGTTAGCATCGTCCATCTGTATACAGTCTATGTTAGCATCGTCCATCTGTATACAGTCTATGTTAGCATTGTTCATCTGTATACAGTCTATGTTAGCATTGTTCATCTGTATACAGTCTGCTCTGAACATGTTTCTTTCCCATCCACAGGTGGTGCACCCAGGAGTCAGGAGACAGGTGGAGATGGACCTTCTGCTGATGAAAGCCGGCAGCTGGGTTCTCTCCTGTCTGCCCGGGCTCCAGTGGCTCAGTCTGTCTGAAGTCGTGGAGGAGTTCGAGAAGCTCATGACCAAACAGGTGTGAATGAAATGTAACGCCTGAAATCATCAAGCTGTGTCGTAATGAAATGGACTTTCTTTTTCCAGATCGATCTCAGATTTGAGGCTAAAAACATAGAGCATTTCAGACGCAACTTCCGCGATGTTGAATATATAAAGTTTCCGACGCCGCTGCGACCGTTTGTGACCAGGTCCATTTTAGTAGAAACCTTTGAAGTGAGTGTTGGTGTATTTAAACTAGTATTCTCATAACTAGTCGTGCATTAACGTATATCTTTGATTCTTAGGAAAGTGAACCAATTTCAAACTATCTGAAGTCCGATATTCCAGCAGATGTAAAGCAGAAGATCGCGAGGATGGGAGTGGACACACTGTTAAAGATGGTGAGAATATACAATCTCATACAGTCTATAGTCCCTTTAGACGTCTTTTCAAGTCCCAAATCGAGAAGTCCAGTTGTGAGAGGTTCATAGACGCCACATGGAGGGAGTTGGTCCTTTCTCTCTAGCTCCTTGCTCCATCCCAGTCCTGCATGTAGATCTCACCCCCATGGCCGTATACGTCATGTCAGCATGTACACATTGGAGTCTGTAAAAATGGCCTGCATCTTCTACGAACTCAGGTCACACATCTCAAGAAGCTCACTTGGAGTCTTGTTGTGCTTCCTCTCCTCAACTCTTCAATGTCATTCTTTGCATAACGAACCAAAGATTGAATTTCTCCTGGCTCTGGACTATACTCTTGATACTCGAGACCATGACATAATTTTGATTTTGTATCTACTCTACCCCGACCTATCGGGTTAGAACAGAGCTACAGTAGCCTGGCCTTAGCCATCCATAAACTCCAGCCACTCATCATTTCCGAAATGGAATTTGTACGATTGTGTGGGACGACTAGGTCAGATTAGAGGTAGTCTCATAAAGGAACTCTGATCTCTGCGAGTAGAGATTTGTAGTCTGATCTCTGCTTTACTGGTGAATATTTATAATACTTTCTGCGAGTGAAATTTGTCGAGAAAAAGTTGTAAATGACCAAAATCAGGCTTAAGTTCTTTGAAGAAGACAGAGACAGATACAGAGATAATTATGTATAAGCAAAGAAAACAACTGTCAAAATGTAATTAGTACAAGTACCATAAGTGAAAAAGAAGAGCATTGATAAGACTTTAAAGGTTCCAGCTCTAAACCTCAAAGTCTAAACTAAAACAATCCTATTTATTTATCTGTGTTTAACTCTGTCGGTTTTGGCTGAATATTTGATTCTGCCTCAGGTTTTTGTGGACAACTTTGTGCACGGAGACCTTCATCCTGGGAACATCCTGGTCCAGTCCCGAGCCCCGCCCCCTGACCCCGGTGAGTCTGTGGGGGAGGCCCAGGGTAAGACCCAGGGTAAGACCACACTCACAGACCTGTGGGACACGGTGGTGGTCAGCAACAGACCGGACCCCAGCCCCTTTCAGCTGGTTCTGCTGGACGCTGGGATCGTGTCCCAGCTCAGCGAACACGACCGCTCCAACTTCAAGGCCGTCTTCACCGCCGTGGTCCTGCGCCAGGTACTCACAGAAAAACAACTTCATTATATTACTGTATTTATTCATTATATTATTTATGTATTTATTTCATGGAGACAAGTGTACACAATGGACACGTGAAACTCTTTTGGCCAAGGTTTTTGCTCTGTCTTTTCCTTTGAGCACATTGTACATCCACATGATACTTTATTCTATTTGTTTATTTGATTTGAACATTAATGAACAGCAGTAATGTTTTCATAACTTTGTCACTTTTTTTCTAGTAGTTCATGAACTTCATTGTTGTTTATTGTAGTTTATTTCAGTCGTTATGCTTACTAAGGATTATGTTTGTAACCTGAGTAGTTCTATCTTTGAAGAGCGAGTGCTGGTTACTATAGCAACGGGCCGTCTACCATCAGCGGTTAGCATCCGGTCTTTAGCATTTAGCCTTTCAACAAACTGTTTTAGCACCTAGTAAATCTTTTGGGGAATTTTTCATAACTCCATTGGTTTAATGGCGAGCGGTCAAAATGATGGATCTGGGAGTAGTTTCTCCCTGTGTTTGCATAGGTTTCCTCCGGGCGCTACGGTTTACCCTACCACTAAAAACATGTACAATAGTTCTGACATGTGCGTCCTGTTTGGTGACCTCGCTCCCATCTCTGTGTGGAGTGACAGACACGTGCTCTGGTCTGTAAAAGTTTAAATAAATACTACTTACTTACTTTGTAATTAGTTAAAATTCTAAACCTAGTTAAAGAAGCAGTGTGTAAAAATCTGGCCAAAAGTGGTACTGCACTCTCCCAGACTCAAGTTGCCAGAAATGTATTTATGCCTTTTGAAAGATTAGGGTCCTTCAATGATGACTTGACGTGAAAATACTACTACTTTAAGAGAGCAGTGAAGATTATTGGGTAACATAAACGATGTTGGAGGAGACGGTCCTGAAGCTGCCGCAGACACTGACTCCTCTCACATCCTATACAAACATAACCTTCTCTTTTTCTTTTTCTAGGGTGAGAGGGTCGCAGAGTTGATCCTGAATCACGCCCGAGCCAACGAGTGTCAGGACGTGCCGCTGTTCAAGCAGGAGATGGCTCAGCTCGTAGACCACGCCCTCAGCGACACCCTGGCTCTGGGAAAGGTGAGGGTTAGAGTCACATGACGTATGTTCGGTCACATGACTTATGTTCAGTCACATGACGTATGTTCGGTCACATGACTTATGTTCAGTCACATGACGTATGTTCAGTCACATGGCATATGTTCAGTCACATGACGTATGTTCAGTCACATGGCATAGGTTCAGTCACATGTCGTATATTCGGTTGTATGTTCAGTCACATGACGTATGTTCAGTCACATGGCATATGTTCAGTCACATGTCGTATGTTCAGTCACATGACGTATGTTCAGTCACATGACGTATGTTCAGTCACATGTCGTATATTCGGTTGTATGTTCAGTCACATGACGTATGTTCAGTCACATGTCGTATATTCGGTTGTATGTTCAGTCACATGACGTATGTTCAGTCACAAGACGTATGTTCAGTCACATGTCGTATGTTCGGTCACATGACGTATGTTCAGTCACATGACGTACGTTCAGTCACATGTCGTATGTTCAGTCACATGACGTATGTTCAGAATCTCACCACAGATTGTAATCGTACAGATCCAGGTGGCAGACCTCCTCTCCAGAGTCTTCGGGCTGCTGATCAAACACAAGGTAATCTACAGAGTTTTAAATGAAGAATTCTAGCAAACACATTTTCCATCATTCTCGGAGATTGTTCAGGATTTCCTCTGGTGATACGGGTGATTGTCTTTTACGTTGTACCTTTAACTTTTATTGTGTGTTTGTTTTCTTTAAAAACTAGTGACTCACAGATGTATTCATTTCCTTGAGGCCACTTATTTCTTGTACTGTACTTTAGACACACGCACACACTACAAGTATACATACACACACCTGTTATAGACACACACACACACACTTACTATAAGTACATGTGTATATACACACACACTTTTAAGCCATACACACACTTACTAGAGATGCATGCACGCACTTACTACAGGTACACACACACATACACACTTGCTATAGACATACACTTTTACAATAGGTATATACACACAAAAAATGTAAACAAACACACTTACTATAGGTATATATATACACACACTTACTATAGGTATATATACACACACTTACTACAGTCATACACACACTTACTATAGGTATATACACACACTTTCTATAGACACACACACTCACTATAGATAAACACACACACTTTCTATAGACACACACACTTACTATAGATAAACACACACACTTTCTATAGACACACACACTCACTATAGATAAACACACACACTTTCTATAGACACACACTCACTATAGATAAACACACACACTTTCTATAGACACACACACTTACTATAGATAAACACACACACTTTCTATAGACACACACACTTACTATAGATCTGCACGCACGCACTTTCTACAGGTACACACACACACTTGCTATAGACGCACACACACTCACAGACTTACTACACACACTGTAATGGCTGTTGTCGTGCAGGTGAAGCTGGAGAGTAACTTTGCCTCCATGGTGTTTGCGATCATGGTTCTGGAGGGACTGGGCCGGTCTCTGGACCCGAACCTGGACATTCTGGATCTGGCCAAACCTCTGCTGCTCCGAAACTCTGCGTCTCTTCTCTGACCTCAAAATACCTCACTGCAGCGGGAGCACACACAACTGTTCCTTTTTATACACACAATATTGTCCAAACGCATCAAATAATGTTATATAAATGATGAAATAGATACAATAATAAATAAATACATACTTTTGAGTGGGTTTGACGATCTTTTCAGTATGAATACAGACCGTGAAAGCGGGGCCTCACGATCCTTCTGACGTTCTGGTTTTAAGCAGGAGGTGTCAGAAAAGTTAGCACAGGGATAACTGGCTTGTGGCGGCCAAGCGTTCACAGCGACGTCGCTTTTTGATCCTTCGATGTCGGCTCTTCCTGTCCATGTGAAACAGAATTCACCAAGCGTTGGATTGTTCACCCACTGGATCACAGGTGTCAAAGTCAAGGCCCAGGGGCCAGATCTGGCCTGCGAGACCATTTCCAGTGTCCCCTGAGATGATTTTATATTATTATATTAAATAGCAGCATTAATGATAAAAGGCGACAAGGCATGTTATCCATGACTAAGAAAACAACCATAACATTTATAATTCCATAAGAAACGTTTAGCAAACATGTAATTAGAAGTTAGTATTATAATGTTATGTTTTTTACGAGTCTTCAATTACATTTCTCCTTAAAGATATGAAGAAGGATCTCCCAATTTTCTTAGGAAAGAACTGCCCTCTCCACTTTTTGAACAAAACTCTCTGGTCTTATTTGACGAGCACAAATCACCAGAATGATTGAAAATTGGGAGGACCAATAGTATTGATGATCAACCCGGAAGTAGACAATCTTCCTATATACCTTCAATATTTGGTTCAGTTTTTGTTCAGTCCACAGAAACTGAACTCATTATAATCAGAAAAGAATGTCCAATCTAACTAATGTGAAACAAGGCATTTATCATATTAAAAAAATGTTTTATAAAGATGAAACCCACTTATTTTTCCAAAGTCTGGACCGACACGCCCTTCTTTAACCCACTTAAAATTAATACTTGTTTTGGTAATTTATCCAAACCAACCTCTGTAAATATCCTTCCCTCACTCATGAACAAGACCCAAAGATGCTACAACTCTACATGCTCTGCCTTCTCTCAGTAAAGTAATTATTTCTGTGTTAATTTGGTGTGTTTGCGTGGCCCGCTGCTGTGGTCCGCAATGTACCCAGGACCCTACTTTGGGAACCACTGCCTTATTATGGTACTAAGTAAGTAATCTTTATTTATATATACCGCCTTTTCACTGCACATCGGAGTCTCAAAGCGGTTTACAATTGTTATTTTTGGGAGTGGGGGTGCCAGTACAGGAGGCACATGTCAGACCTATTGTACATATTTTTAGTGGTAGGGGAAACCGGAGCACCCGGAGGAAACCTACGCAGACACGGGGAGAACATGCAAACTCCACTCAGAAAGGCCCTGGTCCAACCGGGATTCGAACCCAGGACCTTCTTGCTGAGAGGCGAGAGTGCTATCCACTCAGCCACCATGCCGCTACTAAAGAAGAACACTATTTACATTTCAAGTTTTAGAAAGTGAAATATTGGTTTGTATGGACGGGGCCCGACAAACTGAATTTACACGTGAAACTATTTCAGTGGAAGCAGAATAAAATACTTATAATATACTTTCTATACCTGAGTCAATCACCCTTTTACCACCAACTCTACTCTGCTTCACTGCTACCAAGGACTTTTTCAGTTCCTGCTTAGCCCTGGTTCTGTTATATAAGTGATTCTAACTGAGAGTGATTGGCTGGACTGCTGCTGGAAGCCATGGTCGCCAAGGAATTTACCCGGACACTACAATGATGTCGGTAGGTTCGATTATGAGGATGCGGCGCCAGATTCTAGTTCTTTCCGAAACTCCGTCCTAGCTTAGTTTTAGTCATGGCAGTCACCAATGTTGTCCTTCTTTTCATTTATATCTTTTGCTCATTCCTTACCACACACACACACACACATGGACACACACACACACCTCTTAATGTTTCCTTTTGTGTCCTGTGAAAAGTAGTCTTTTCCTCCACCTTCTGTTTCTTTTTTGCTAATTGTATTTTTTATTTTGTCTCTATTTTTTTGAAATGTTGAAAACATTACTAATAAAAACTATAAAAATCATTGAAAAAAAAATATACAGGACCAGATACAACTCCATAATACTTACACTAGAACACATAGTACTTTATACTTGCTTCTTTTTACGCCAAAAGTAGAGATTTTATACTTTCTTCTTCTTCAGGCTAGAGTCTGAGATTTTTTTTCAGTTCGGTAACTGCTGATGCAACACTGGAATTTCCCCACTCTACTCTGGGACAAACAAATCTCCCTAAATCTTAATATTGAAGCGCAATGGAAACAGAACCAGGTCGAGTAGAACCGAGTCGACCTGAGCCGAGTGGGGCCGGTGGAAACGGGGCTAAAGTCAACCCTACGGTGGCTCAAAGAGTACAAACCGAGGAGTTTTGGTGCCTTTATTGCAAAAATGTAGATTATTTTCATTTCACCATAGAGAGCCCAAACAGAGCAGCACTGTTCAAGTAAAGAGGGAGGGGGAGAGGTGACGACTGTGGCAAAAAAAAAAAAAAAAACGTTTGTAGTAATTATAATAATCGTTCATATTAATACCAAAAGAAAAGAAACCTCTAATAGACAAACACAATCACAGTCTCAGTATTAGACGAGATTCTGCCACGGTCACAACAACCAGGGAAAATGTCTTCTTTTGTTTTCACTGAATTAAATAGATTTCAAAAATATCTCACCATTTACTTATACTTTTTCTTTTCATTTATTGCGAAAAATAGGCAACTTACGGAAGCTTGTTGCGTTCACTGGGATGAGAAAAGATTTGTTTATTATGAGACTGGTTTGAAATGACGGGTTTGTATGAGTGTGTTAAGGTGGATTTGTGTTTTTAGAGGTAAAATATACATGTTTATATGATCTTAACATGTGCGTTTTATTATTACTAGTGTTAGCAACATTGAGAGAGTTAGAGCATTTGATTATTAAGTATTTTTGGGTGTCTGGATGTGTGTGTTTTCTGCTGCTGGACTCTCTGGACGCCTGAATCTCTCCGACAGGGATCAATACATTTTAATTTGAACGAGACCGGCTGTTGTCGAGATTAACCCCTGATGGTCCTCTTTCGCATTTTTTTTTTGACAGTTGCTGAATCAGCTGTAGATTCAATTAAACAAGCAGGACTTTACGACACGTTAAGACTTCTGGTCTCTCTGATCCTGGTTTCTCTCTGGTCCTAGTCTTTCTCTGGTCCTTGTCTCTCTCTGATCCTGGTCTATCTGGTCTCCCTCTCTGATCCTGGTCTTTCTCTGGTCTTGGTCTCTCTCTGGTCTCCCTCTTTAGACCTGGTCTCCCTATCTGGTCCTGCTCTCTCTCTGGTCCTGGTCTCTCTCTGGCTAGACCTGGTCTCCCTATCTGGTCCTAGTCTCTCTCTGGTCCTGCTCTCTCTCTGGTCTCCCTCTCTAGACCTGGTCTCCCTATCTGGTCCTAGTCTCTCTCTGGTCCTGATCTCTCTCTCTGGTCCTGCTCTCTAGACCTGGTCTCCCTATCTGGTCCTAGTCTCTCTCTGGTCTTGGTCTCTCTCTGGTCTCCCTCTTTAGACCTGGTCTCCCTATCTGGTCCTGCTCTCTCTCTGGTCCTGGTCTCTCTCTGGCTAGACCTGGTCTCCCTATCTGGTCCTAGTCTCTCTCTGGTCCTGCTCTCTCTCTGGTCTCCCTCTCTAGACCTGGTCTCCCTATCTGGTCCTAGTCTCTCTCTGGTCCTGATCTCTCTCTCTGGTCCTGCTCTCTAGACCTGGTCTCCCTATCTGGTCCTAGTCTCTCTCTGGTCCTGATCTCTCTCTCTGGTCCCGCTCTCTAGACCTGGTCTCCCTATCTGGTCCTAGTCTCTCTCTGGTCCTGATCTCTCTCTGGTCTCCCTCTCTAGACCTGGTCTCCCTATATCTGGTCCTAGTCTCTCTCTGGTCCTGCTCTCTCTCTGGTCTCCCTCTCTAGACCTGGTCTCCCTATATCTGGTCCTAGTCTCTCTCTGGTCCTGATCTCTCTCTCTGGTCCTGCTCTCTCTCTGGGCTCCCTCTCTAGACCTGGTCTCCCTATATCTGGTCCAAGTCTGGTCCTGGCTTCAGAGGTCTATTGTCTGTGGCAGCTTTTTCAGTTTAAATGTTAACCTCAAGAGTCAGTGTTATCAGCTTCAGCTTCTGCCTTCTTCTGTTTCAGACCGTATGTACTTTAGTATCTTATCACCAAGCGCCTGAAATTGTCAGAATTGTCTAAAATAAATAAATAAACTGAATATTAGCATATAATAGTATTCAAGTATTCTCAAAGCGTTAGCGACGCAGGGCCATCAGTGGTTGAACAAGAAATCTCAAAAAACAATCTTCTCAAAGAAATCTTTTCCCAAATAAAAAATAAAACATTTTACTTTTCTCATAAAATCAATTGTTTTTATCTGAGTAAATGCAATAAGTTTCCGTAGCAACTGGACTAACGATGATAATGCTGTAGTGTAAGAGTGAGAGTCTGTGGAGGATGGAGATCTGGTGAAACGGTCTCTTTGGAGCAGCACTCTCGCACCTCCACCACTAGGGGGCACAGTTCTTGTCAACGTCCCACCAGGCCTGAGCTTTGGCGCCCCCTCCCGCTGCAGCAAAGAAATGCAAGTCTCTGGTTTGGAATGACGCTTCACAGCCACTTGTTTGTTTTTTTTGTCACTCATGTGTATTTTTCCCCAGATTTTTTTGTGTTTTGTTTTGTTCTGTACAAATGTTTTAAATCCCTGAAGGACATTTACAAAGACAAGTGCAACCTACACGCAGTCGCCGCCTTCCAGAAGCTTCTCATTAAATAGGAGGGGGGAAAAAAAGAGGTGTCCGGGAATAGAACTGGGAAAAATGAAAAGATGGAATGATGCGGGGTAACCATGGAGACGGGCAGCATGTTCCGATGAAATCCTTCTTTACAAACGTTGGTGAGAAAGTAGGAAACGGGAATGAAATGCACACGTTAACACAACATATGTTCATCTTCTACGACTTGTTTTGCTCAGACCGGAGTGATTTTGTTGCTTGGACGTTGGCCTCGTCTTCCTCGGAGCGGTCCTGAGTTTTTTGGCGCTGTCTTTCTGCCGCCTTGACGACAGCGCCACCTTGACGACAGCGCCACCTACAGTCCGACTTCTTCAAGACAGGCTCCCAGGTGTGTGAGAGTAAGACAGCCCCCTCGTCCCGGTTTATTGTCTGAGAGCAGACATCGGGAACCTTTTTAGCCGAGTAAGTAAGTATGTCATCTTTATTTATATAGGACATTTTACAGACCTCGGTCACACTAACTTTAAAATGTATTTCTGTGGGAGGCATACACAGTTTTGGTTTTAAACTGTGAAAATGTGTGATTTTTTAAAACAAGATCAACAGATTTAGAGTGTGACATTTGTCTCAGAATTTATTCTTTTGCATATATATTTTTTTATTTTTTGTACTGTTTGTGGGAGCTTTCATTCACACCTGATACGACCTTTCTCTGCTCTGAGAATGCACTGGACAGACACTCCACCGTCTATAGATCTGCTTTGACTGGAATAAATTGGATTATTAAATTGGACTGTCATTTTTTTGTATTTCTATAGCTTTAAAAAAAATATGGACCAATTTAAAGATGCAGTAAATGATTTATAAAGACCCCAAAAGTAGTAAAGTTATCATGTTTTTTCAAATAGGAAGGAACACAACCAGATGCCTGCACCCTCAAAAACTAAATCAGTAATATTTTGGAGCGGACCAATGGAACAAAACTAATGGGCTGGGTTCACTCCTGCTTTTCGGCGATTTTCTAAAACACCTAAAATGGCTGAACAGAAAGCGCCACTTTCCTGTTTGTCACCCACTCGCTCTGTTGTGGCAAAGAAAAGAAAATCCGATGAAGAAAAGGCGTTGTATAAGTAGACTCTGGACGCAGCCAGGGCCAAAACTCGAGTCAACATCGGGACATCGGTGTCGTCGCTACTGCTAAGCTAACCTGAAAACTTTACTGCACCATTAATTTGAGTCTGAAATAAAGATGAATAATACCGCTGAAAAAATCCCATACATAAAATATTTTTACTATTATTACCTACTAAGTTTTGTCTGACAGCCAGACCCAATCATCAAAAGAGCCATAGGTTCTTGACTTTGATCCAGCGTTGGGGTTTGTCGTTTGTCGTGCTGAGCTAATAATAATGTGATCCGCTCTTTCTCTCTGGGCCATCTCCGACCGCAGTGACCAAAAGAACCACATAACGGACTGGGACAACGTTATCATAGCCATAGGGCTGAAGCTGGATCAGAGCAGATCCAGCTGTGAGACGAGGACGATAAACCGGGACGAGGGGGCTGTCTTACTCTCGCACACATGACCACTCTGAGAAAGACTGCACGCCAGCACTTCAAACTGTCAAGTACAAAAAAACAAAACAAAAACACTTCACACTGCAAGAAGCGAGGAAAAAAAGTACAAAATTGCTCACATTTGGCAAAATGTATCTTAATTTGAGCACATTTTGACTGCCTTGAAACCGGATTTGCCAACGGGACAAAGCAGAATAATCTTGTTTTAAAAAGATACAAGAAACGTCTTTTTTGGAATAAGAAAAAAAAGCAACAGTTATTGAAATAAGTCTAAATGGCTTTGTCCCATTGGCAAATCTTGTTTTAAGAATGTACTTACGGTAAAAACCACACGATTTAAGCATCTATGACCTCATTTTTGATCACTTTTTGCAGTGTGGTCCAACTTAGAATCTATGAGAAGCCCAAATGAACCTCGTTGGAAAATCTTTGACCGTTTTGCCAAATCCAAACACAGCCTTTGTCCATGCATCGTGTGTGTAGCTTCTTAAAACCACCCAACGTCCGCCTGTGTCACGTTGATTGTAATTCCTACACTTTGCACCGTGATGTCTCCAGACCGCGCTCGCCGCTCGTCGAAGCAGTAAAAAGACGAATTACTGACGTGTAAACTAGATTCTGAGGTGGGTGCTTTTCCACATCAGTGCCACATCCGAGCCGGCTCTGCTTTCGACTCCGGAGGCACGCCATTTTCTCACAGATTCGTCGAATATTTTTGAGGCAGCTGCAGCTCTAGTCTGTAAAAGTGGAGATTTTTTTTTTTTTTCTTCAAACTTTGTTGCCGTTCAGTCCGTTTTAGTCGTACGAGTGGAAGTGGCTTGCTGGCATCTTGGCGACGCAACTGAAATGGTGCAGAGTTCTGTACTTTTAGTATTGTCTGTAAGCAGCAGTATCCACAAACCGTCCACAACCGTCCGCATTGTCGTCGTCAGTGGAAGACCTCCAATGCCTCGAATCGGTCCGAACTTTTGCCTGTACATTCCTCCGGGGGAAAAGTAGCCTAGACATGTAAGCACAAAAACAAAGTCTGGAATCACAGTCTACAACGGGGTGTTTTTATTAACAGGCAAAAGGGAAGATTTCTTGGAGCTTTTCCTTCAGGGGCTACGAGTTGAGCCAGGGGTGGTTGAGGCACTCCCCGGCCGAGGCTCGCTTCTCAGGCACCATCTCCAACATGGGCGACAGGAAGTGGGTGAAGTGTCCGGCGTCCTCGTGCGACCAGCCGTACTTCTCCACCAGGACGTCGAAGAGTGACCAGGGCTTCAGCTTGGTGATGTGCCGCAGCTCGCCTGTAGGGGGCGCCACAGTCAGAAAAGTTAGGAGTTTGGACAAAAAAATGCAGTGGCGTTATTGGCCGAGTCACTATGATGAGGTCTGGGTCACATCTCGGGATAAACTAAATGTGTAATTCTTGTGTTGTTTGTCTTAACCCTTTAATGTTCACGCCAAGAAGAAAGAAATGCCAGGTTTGGATTCTCAAAGTTGTATGAGAGCTACACTAAGAACATACATCATTTGTTTTTATGTTTTTATTCTTAATATTTTAACCCTGAATTGGTTAATAATAGGCCTATAACAATTGAGATCAAGTTTGATGGTGAAAGTGGACAAGGGAGATTTCAGATCCAAGCTTAAAGTGGATATAGAGACTCAACGACTGAATGAAGAAACCATTAAAGGGTTAAACAGGAAATATAAGAAGAATTTAGATTTGGTCCATTAAAAAGATAATGAGACTTGTTTTAGAAGGTTAAATAATATCTTCAGAAGAAAAAATATATGTCAGCCTGTGATTCGGACTGTAAATGTCTCCATTGTGAGATCAATAAAGTTTATCTTATCTAATTTTAACTCCCTGCACTGCCACCAGGGGGAGGAGTAGAATTAGTTTTGTAGTAGTAAAAAAAAATCCTCAGATCCTAAAAGCCCTTTTTGGTTCACAACCTCCTCAGAGATCGCCTTCACCGACTGTCGCTGTAATACTATGGAACATTCCAGGCACATTTACTCAGACCTATTTAACAGAAAGACCCCATTATGAACGAAAATCCACTTTTTAAACTAAAATAGGTTCATATTTAAAGTAGCAATATGTAAGATTTACATGTCAAGGCCCTAACATGTCTAAAGGCTTTAATAAACCATGGGCTTTAACTGATAACAGTAGTTCAACCGATATATTTGGATTAGAAAATTGGATTGACAGCCCCTAAATCTTTTTTGGATCACCGACTTTCCATTTTACCAATCAGAAAGTCGGTGATCCAGGTTGCCAAATAATCTCACTGGTAAAGTAACATGTGGCCGGGGTACGAAAATCGGACCCGTTATGATTCTCAAACAATGAAAAAGGTGTTGGTTACAGATTTGTTGTTGACATTACTCTTGTCTATTCATTATGGTCCCAGCTGGATTCGTCTGCATATCTGGCAACCTGAGTCATGGAGAGTGGGAGAGGACTACAGTATTTTGACCGTAATTGCAGTACCACTTTTGGCCAGATTTTTACACACTGCTACTTTAAAATTGTGATTATAATTTGGAAATTTCTATACAGAGCTGAAAGAGGTGGCGGTTAGAAATGGATTGCACCATTTTGTCACAAACAAAATGTACAATTTGACCAGATGTCCAGCCAAATTACCCTCCCCATCGTGGCGCTAATGACACAGTCCGACTCCGTAATTGAACCTCGTGGCAAATGAGATGTCAGCCGCTTCAGTTGTTGGCAACAGTGGAAGAACGCTCCGAGATGTGACCCATGCCGTGTCATCGCAGTGACGTTTCCAGCCTTGTTTTCCTGCACTTATTTGTCTGATTAGTTCACCCCCGTCTCAGCAGGTGCCCTCATCAGACATGTTCGAGTCAGCGTGCACACAGTCGCAAAGTCGAGGACGGAAAGGAAAAGACAGGAAGACGAAACGGATCAGACACCACATGCAGAGGTGACGCACAACGGTACAGACCAGACAGAGTTTGAGCCCGAGCTGGATCCCCCCCTTCACTAAAATGAATAAATAAGAAAATAATTATAGTACTTTCTGGACTAGGCAACATTTACTTTACTTTGAGCATTTTTTTATAATTTTTTTGTAAACTGTTGCCTTTATATTGTACTGTTTTCAGAAAGCGCTGTCATGGCAACCTCCAGTGCTGTGATTGGTTGGAGCCTTCTACACGCTCTATATGTGGAAGAAATGTGTTGCGATCTTGATGTATGTGATTCACAGACTTGTTTTTAGAAGTGGACTGTGACATCACAGTAGTGTTGACCTTGACGCAGGAGAGGCCGATTTGAACATAAGCTAACTGGAGCCAATTTCCATATATAGGCACTGATTTTTATGCCCAAAATGTGACGCTAGCAGTTACCAGACCAACCAAGTTTAATTTTCAATGTAAGTCAATGGGAGCCGGTGCGACTTGGAGCAAAAATACGCCTATGAGAACGTTCCCTTTGGGTTAGATTGAGCTAGCGGGTTAGCATTGTCCATCTGTATACAGTCTATGCGTTTACAGTAATATAATGAGACTGAAGGCGACATGGCAGACGGGAGGGACCCAGAGAGGCGAGTCGAGATGGATTAACAGACAGCTTTGTGATAAAAGGAGAACCATTGAGACATCAAGTGTAGGCTCAGACCTCGGATACAGACGAAATCAAAGGCAGAATATTCAGAGCTCATGACTCTTTATGAAGGATATATGAAGCAAGAGCAGAGGGTAGAAAGGGAATGCATGATAGGGAGCAGGGGTTATCAACTGTATCAAGCACACATACACTTACCAGAGCTTCACAGGAGCTTACGGCCAATGCAGACTGCTGTGAGTCTAATCTAACTTTTGTATTGTAAAAAAATGCGTATTTATAAAACCTGAAAGACTTGAAATCTGTTGTTTTTTTACAGCGTGCTTCTCATGCCCATTTTTCGTTATATTTTTGTTATATTTATTTCTGACACTGGTTAAAGGAGTTCTCTATCTCTTATGAAGTTTTATGGATCCATTATTGGTGTCAAATTTCTGAAAATGTTGTGGCCTAAAGGGTTAATTGTATACAGTGGTCCTTGAAGTAGCAGGAATTTTTTAAGGCTGTAAAAACTCCTCGCACACACTTTTCTAACCAACTGAACTCACGACTGATGAAGTGAGAGAGACCAGAGATATCGAACCTGTTGGTTGTAGGTCTGAGCGCTGCTGCAGCTGTCAAAAGCCGTGCATACACTGTCAATTACAGCTGCAGAGGAGACTGAGGGACAGGAGCAGGACTGAGGGCTACAGGGAGATCGCCATAGTCCTCTGAACTAATCAACGCAGTGCACACAAGTAAAAAAGAAAGTAATCTTTATCGACATAGCGCATTTTTACAGACCAAGGCACTTCACAAGGTTCAGAGGTCAGATATCGTTTCATTCTCTCCACGCGGTGATGACTGAAATGAGACGCAGATCCCACTGGTGCATCAAAGCCTCTGACCAACACCATCCGTTCACTCACTCATTACGTGCTTTTTTGTTTTTAGTGGTAATGGAAACCAAAGCACCTGGAGGAAACCTACTCAGACACAGGGAGAATATGTAAATTCCACTTAGAAAGGTCATGAGGTCCACTATGGGGCCCAGAGAATTCAGCCACTCTGCCCCCAAACTCTGGAACACTCTCCTGCTCGACCCGCGGACCTCAAAACTTACATTTTTAAACTTGTAATTTTATAATGTTTTATATTCTGCACTTTTAATATTGTGTGTGATGTTTTTTTGATATATCGTAAGGCATCCTTGGGTGTATTGAAAGGCGCCCAGAAATAAAATGAATTATTATTATTATTATTATGATGTTCCAAGCGGGAAGACTCAGCCACTGTGTCGCCCCAAAAGCCTTTTTTAAAAGTTGTATTCCGACTTTAAATACATGTAACTGTCATCTTATACTAGCAGTTATATGATGATGTTGGAGTTTAGACACGGTGCATAAGAAGCAAGCTGTAAATACTTTATAGAAATGTCCTTGCACTGTAAAAAGAAACCTTACTTGTACGACTCCGGACCGACCTCACTCCTTTTCGCCCCAAAGCCGTTTACCTTTCTTGGAGAAAAATTCCCGGCTGTACTTCCCGTCAGCCACCATTTTCCGGGGCACTTTTCCCAGGAGCTCCGTGATCAGAGCGATGTGGTCTGTCTCGTCACCAAACAGACATCACAGAAGGACAAGCACGGTTCAGCATCTCAACATGCAGACACCAGACACAGCTGTACGGACCAGCGCACACTCGTACTTAAGACACCATCTGGACCGCGATGGCTGCGCTCAGAGCCGTGTGCAGGAAGATCAAGGTCCAAATGATTTTTATCCATTTATATAACTGTTAATATTGTTAAATAGTTGTTCAAAATAGTTGCTCCAAATCAAAAACATTTTAACCAATGACAAATGTGACCTTTTTAAAGGACAACTCACCCTCAAATCCACTTTTTTTTGCTGATAAACGGTATAAATGAGTGTCCAATAGTGTTGTCTACATATCCTGGTCATAATCTTGTCACTTTGGTGCAAATTAGTTGAAAGTTAAACTTTCTGCCTTAAACCGTCTGTGAGGCGCCATCTGCTGGCGACCTGTATTACTACATTTGAATTTTGAATCTGGCGCCAACACTGGCGCGGCAGCAAGACCTGACGTCTGAAGCAAGACCTGACGTCTGCAGCCCCCCGCCCAGAGCAATGTAAACGGCCCAGTCTCGTTCACGCCCCCTTTAGTCCTCCAGCCTACGCCCATTTAGAGGAAGATTTGAACAGGAAATGAGAGTAACGTAAGCTCCGAGGAGCAGGGGTGAGAACCACTTTAAGAATATTTACCTCCACCTTGTTTTTGAATTCTTGTCATAGGCAGAATTTGACATATAAATATCCATGAGGCTGGAGGACTCTACAGGTCAATGCGCCATCTTGAACTACAGTGGTTGATAAGGGACAAAAAGGAGTTTTACCAGGAGTTGGGGACCACTGTCATAGACGACATATCGCCCTCTGAAGCTACTGCAGTTCTGGAAATGACAATATATGATCTCAACTCTGGATATGAGGAAAAACTACACAGTGGATCTCTAAGACTTTTCAATGATGCAGTATATATAAACAACATAGCTTAGTTTTGATAGTAGGGAGTCTGGTTTGTTTTTTGTGGTGGGGGAAACCATGGGGAGAACATGCAAACTCAAAAAGCCCACATCGACAGGGAACCACTCAATAGTATTAAGTTCCTCGTGTCTACTATTTTACGGTTGAGGCTTATAAAGTTATTTTAATATTCGTATGTATTGTTTTATGTATATAGATAAGTTCTTTTTTTTTTTTTTTTTTTTTAAAAGCTGGTCTTTAAAAGTGAGTCCCAAGTGTGAGCCAAGGTGAAGGCCCCCTCGTCTCTGTAAACATAAAAAAAATAAGTAGCTAACCAAGTTTTATCTTTTCTAATGTACTATCCATTTTTTAAAAAGTGTTTTTGGTGTTGTTGGGCCTTGGGCCAAAAGGGACGCATGTTATCAATGCGTCCCTTTTATCTGGCTGTGTTCCGGGTGTTTTTAAGCAAGCTGTAGTTCAGCCACTTCTTAAGAAGCCCACCTTGGACAACACTGTTCTTGCTAATTACAGGCCTATTTCGAAGCTGCCTTTTTTAGCCAAAGTATTGGAGAAAACAGTTCTTAATCAATTCCAACAGCATCTGGACACAAATGGCATCTTTGACACGTTTCAATCAGGTTTTAAAGCTCTACATAGCACAGAGACTGCACTGCTCAGAGTTTTTAATGATCTGCTTTTAACAGCTGACTCTGGTTCTCCTGCCATTTTAGTTCTTTTAGATCTGACAGCTGCTTTTGACACTATAGATCATAGCATTTTAATTTCGCGTTTGGAGCACTACGCTGGTTTTAAAGGCACCGCATTAAACTGGTTCAGGTCCTATCTTGGTAACAGGTGTTTTTCTGTCTACTTTGGGCCCTAAAAGTCTGGCCTGGCACCCCTTAATTGTGGCGTTCCACAGGGCTCCATTTTAGGCCCCGCCCTTTTTTCTTTGTATATGCTGCCACATGGAGATATTCTAAAGAAACACAATGTCTCCTTTCATGCGTATGCTGATGACCTGCAGATCTACCTGCCTTTAAATCCCATCTCAGTGTCAATTGCAACACTGCTAGATTGTCTCCAGGAAGTGAGATCATGGCTGGCCCAAACATTTTTAATTCTCAACGAGAATAAAACTGAGATTGTTGTTTTTAGCTCCAGCCTCCCTGTGGAGCTCACTGATGCACTTGGTGGCACTCTCTGCTCATGTCCATTCCTCTGCCAGAAACTTAGGAGTTATTTTTGATAGCACCTTTAGGATGGACACGCAAATTAATTCAGTAATCAAAGCCAGCTTTTATCAGCTCCGGGTCTTGAGCAAAGTGAAGGCTTACATCCCACCGACTGACTTTGAGCGAGTTATCCAGCTTTTTATTTCTTCAAGATTAGATTACTGCAACTCGTTGTGCTGTGGTCTGGACCTCGGCTCTTTAAAGCGCCTTCAGCAGGTGCAGAATGCTTCTGCTCGCTTACTCACAGGGACACGTAAGAGAGAGCACATCACCCCCGTGCTGGCCTCACTTCACTGGCTCCCTGTTACTTTCAGGGTTGATTTTAAGATTCTGATGCTTGTTTTTAAATGTTTGAATGGTTTGGCCCCTGTATATCTGTCGGAGCTGTTATCTTTGTATGCTCCGGTCAGATCAGTCCGAAAACCAGATGTTGTTGAATGTGCCCCGGTCTCGTCCCAAAACTCGAGGAGACCGAGCCTTTTCTGTTGCTGCCCCCAAACTGTGGAATAGTCTACCTCTGTTCATCAGAGCAGCTCCTTCATTGGAAGTTTTTAAGTCTAGTTTAAAGACACATTTTTACACCTTGGCTTTTAACACCAGTTGAGGTTTTACCACTTTACTTTTACATGTATGTGTATGTATTTTATACTGTTTTATTTTTATTTTTATCATTCGTGCCTGTGAAGCACTTTGGGCAGCTGGTGGTGTTGTAAATGTGCTATATAAATCAAGTTGACATTGACATTGACATCCGTTTAGAACAATTATGGATGGGGTTGATTTGAGACCTGCACACACACCCCTTGCAAATGATGACGTATATATTCTGTGCCGTTGAATTAGCTGTTAGCGGTGTCTTAAAGATGAGTGCGCCTTAGCCCCGCTTGCTAGCTCGACAGCGCTACCTCGTCTGTTGAAGAACTCCCGGGAATATTTTCCAGAGAGAGCAAAGTGCCTTGGAATGCAGCCCAGGAGCTCTATGATGTGGGCTATGTGGTCTGGGAGGGGGCAGGGAAGGGGAGGGTGCGGAGACCAGAGAACCAGAGGAAAATACCAGGGGAAATACGGAAAAAATAGTGTGATTATTTATAAGGAAATGAGATTAATAGGGAGGAGAGAGAGAGAGAGAGGAGAAAAACATGTTAGTGGGCTCTGCCTCCACAGCAGAAAGAGAATATTTATAGTTTGAAAAGACCACATGCACAAGGTTAAAATGTTTTACTTTAGTCACAATAACAATAATCTTTCTACAGTATCTCCACAGCATTGTTTAAGAGAATGTATAGAGTGTATAAGTCACAAGCCTGGTTAGATGTTTCACAGTTTTTAACCAAGTTTATACCATACTCTGGAATATTTTTGTTAAAGAAATGAAAATGAAATAAGTCTATCCAGTGTCAAGCTGGAGACCAAAACCTCACAGATCTTAGTCAGTGCGGAAAATACCTTTTTATTTCTACATTCACATCAGCCAAAGATATCGTTTACATGACATTTTTACTGGTGTTGTTGAAATGTGGTGGTGTTAGTTAAGATCTGAGTTGTATCTGAGCATGCAAGAACAGGAAAAGAGAGTGGAGGCAGTTCAGAAGAGATTTACTCTGGCAGTGGATTGGGAGGTGTGGGTCGGGCCAGGCACTTCAGCTCTGCTTCCACCAGCCCTACTTGGCCCTACTCTACTCTACTCTACCCCGAACGGAGCTCCAGGCACTTCTGTAGTCCCTCTTGGCCCTGGATTCTATTCAGGCTGAGCTGGTACTTATAGGTACCAGAGGATCACCCAGAATTTAAGAAAAGAGCCGCCCTCTCCACTTTTTGATGGCCTTACGTCACACATCATCAGAGTGATTGACAAATAGGAGGAGCAATAGTCTTGACGATGCACCCAGAAGAAGAAAATCCGCCTTGATACCTTTAAGAGATTGGCTAGAGTGCTGCTGGAAGCCACGGTTACCAAGGAATTTCCATGGATACTGGTTTGTAGTGGTTGGGTTGCTGGGATACAGTAGCAGTGTAATGAAAGCAACACTAGGTAGAGTATAGCCTAGAGTAGAGTAGAGTAGGGCCAAGTAGGGCTGGTGGAAATGGGGTTTTAGTCCAATTACACTACTGCACTAAATACGAAACTGTCTGATACACGATATTTTCTACATTTTCTCTAGACGGACATAGCAGCTAAATTTATAACACTCAATAACATTAAAAACAGACCCGGTCCTCACCCTCATCCCGTGAGTAGTCCTCTCCAGAGTGAGGCTCAAACAAGTAATCTCCAGTCGCCAGTTCAAAAGTCTGAGAAACATAAAAACACACTGTAAAATCACGAACTTTGACCACGGTTCAAACTGGGTCAGTATCGTGTGTACCATGCAGGCGGTACTCCATATATCGGCTGGGGTGCTATAACCAGCTCCTATCAGGACTTCTATCGAGCGGTATTGTCTCGTCTGGATGTCCTCCGTAAAGTGCTTGTGCTGAAACGTGGGCAAAAGTTAAACAAGTCCATTTCACTCTGTTGATAATAATGACAGATAACAGCGCGTCTCACCACCCAGCAGGCGTTTCCCAGATCAGCGATTTTCACGCGGATGGACTCAGCGTTGCGTGGGTCTAGTGGGTTTATTAGCAGATCAGCTGCTCGGGCTTTGACTGCGGACAAACAGGGTAGACCATAGAGAGAGACTCTGAGACCATAGAAACCGGAGAAAGACGGAGAGAGAGAGAGAGAGAGAGAGAAGAGAGAGAGAGAGAGAGAGAGAGAGACCGTGAGACCATAGAAACCAGAGAGAGAGAGAGACCATAGAAACCAGAGAGAGAGAGAGAAAGACCAGAGAAAACGGAGAGAGAGAGACCAGAAACCAGAGAAAGACAAGAGGGAGACCGTACAGAGATACTATGAGACCATAGAAACCAGAGAGAGAAACGAAAGAGAGACCAAAGAGAGAGAGAGACCATAGAAACCAGAGGGGGAGGGACCAGAGAGAGAACAAAGAGAGAGAGACTGTAAAGCCACAGAAACCAGAAAGAGTCAGGAGACAGACCAGACCGAGACCACTGTTGAGTCTAAACAAAGCTAAATAAATGAACAGCCACGGTTCCCTCACCTTTGGGCGTGTCTCCGGTGCTGGAAGACGACACGGTGCGGCTGCGGTCAGCCGTGGGGCTATTGGATGTCCGTCCCGCTCCGGTGTCGGCTGATATTCGGTTTCCCGGCTCAGGATCCAGGGGCAGCTCGGGGAACAGCGCCGCGGTCCCTTTATACCTCTTCTCGCTGGAGCCGTTGGTCAGCGCCGCCTCCGTCAGCTCTCCGTTGTAAAGCTCGTACCCGGAGCTCAGAGACTGGTCCCGGTCGGTGTAGCTGAGCTCGGACTCCACCAGGGGGCAGAGGAGAGTCTCCGGGCTGGGCGTGGGAGGGGGAGGAGTGGCCACTTTGAGTGCGTCATTGCCCTGATGCACGTGGCCGTTGGTTTTGGCCGAGTTGCTGCTGTTCTTGTTGTGGTGGTATTTGACCGGGGAATTGTCTGTGAGCAAATCTGCGGTCGTGAGCAGATCCGCGGTTGTGTCTTCGTCCTCCTCCTCTTCCTCTTTCGTCTCCTCCTCCGTCTTACTCTCGGCCTTCGTTTCCTCTCCGAGACTTTTCTCCGTGTCCTCGTCTTTCGTCTCATCCGTTTTCTCCTCCTCGTCCTCCGTGTTGTCCTGTGTTTCTTCCTCGTCCTTGCCTTCCTCCTCCTCCTCCTCTTCTTCTTCTTCTTCTGTCTGGTTCGGGGGCGGGATAGGGGGGGCTTTCTCAGCGACGGGGGTGGATTCCTCCTTCTCCTCTTCCTCCCCTTCGTCCTCCTCAGCGGGGTCTTCATTAGCGTCGCGGACAGGGGTGGTCTCGCTGTCGTCATCGTGAGGCTGGGCACCTGGGACAGAAACAGCATCAATAAATACACAAAGTAGAGACCTGAACTCGAAGCTGTTTACATCGAATGAAGCAGGACGAGCCGCGCTGGTGTGTGTTTGGTTGTGTGTTTTAAACAGCACCGTAGCGTGCCTGGGGTGATGCGGGGATGATTTCAGATGCGTGCACTGGAGCCTGGAGCATGAACATCGCACAACAACCGGGCCACACACAGAGCCGCGCTCGTCCGCCCAAAATACAAACCTGGCATTTTTTTGGCTGTCAGTCATGATCCAGGAAACATGCTTGTGCTAATGGTCTTTGACACTTGATAAGCTACACGCGCCTACAGCACTAATATCAAATATTGTAAGGAGGGCTGGTAGACAGTGATTCTGGACTTTGTTTTTTGTCTTTTGTAAAGTCTTGAGACCATGAGGACAAAAACATGCTATGTGTTGCTATACATCGGTCCTCTGAGCTGTACTGAACACTACACTTCTCCATAGACTACACAGTGGCAGCAGCAGACGCTCAGTCGGTCTAGCTCTGATGTGTAGGGGATATGATCACTGGTAGGCGACCAAACCTCTGGGTTCAGTGCTGTGTTAATAATATAAACTGTAGCTGTTGTTGTATCGGTGCATTCCTCGTGTCGACAAAACCAGCTGTTATAGAATTTTAATAGTTAACGACTGATTGCAGCCCAATCACCGCCTCTTGCTCTTTCAGCTGCTCAGCGCTCACATGTGTGGTTGGTGAGTCTGGTCGGCCTCTCCGTTCTCTCCTCCTCTTCCTCCTCTCCGTCCTCTTCCTCCTCCTCCTCCTCCTCGTCACTCTCCCCTAGAGCCATACTGGGCCCCAGCGCTGGGGCGGTCTGCTCCGGGGTCTCGCGGTTGGTCTCTCTGGAGCCCTTCTCTTCTCCGTCTTGCGTCGGGTCGTCCTCGTCGTCGTTCTTCTCGGCCTCGCGCTCCAAAGCCTCGATCTCCAGCATCCGTCTCTCCAGGAGCTCGGCCTGTCGTTTCTGCTTCTTCTTCAGCTTCTTTTTCTTGTTCTTGGAGATTTTACCCATCTGGAGAGAAGTGGGCGAGAGAAGAAGAGTGTCATGGCAACCAGCCTTATATCTGGCCTTATATCTGAATATTACAATATCAACACCAGGATCATAGAGAGCGCTAAACCAAGGCTACAAAAATAATAATGATAGAAACAAACGGTTTCAGACCAGAAACTACTGTGTTTACATAGATTGCATGACTTTTTCAATTGTTTTGTGTTTAAAAATTTAAGTACCCCAGATTTAGCTGTACATTGTTATTTTTTCTGATACATAATCCAAAAGTGAATGTCAGTGAATTTAAATAAAGGATGGATTTTGCTTATATGTGTGTGTGTGTGTGTGTTTGTGTGTGTGTTTCTGTATGTGTGTCTGCAAACTGCGTGTGTGCGTTAAGATGTGTGTTTTTCATACTCACATCTATCGTACTCACGGGTTTGAGCTGCGGGGCTGTGCTAACTGACGGACACAAACAGAAACAGTCATCAGCAAAAAGTTAAAAAGGCAAAAGAAACAAAAGAATTTACAAAACCCATCTGTCATCATCAGGTCTCAGGTACAGTGAGCCTGAAGTAGCAGCTGTAAAACCAGACTTTATACACTTTTTTAACCACCTGAAGTCACGACTGCTGAAGTGTGAGAGACCAGAGACATGAAAAACCTGTTGGTTATAGGTCTGAGTGCTGCTGCAGCTGTCAAAAGCCACGCATGCACCATAAAATGCCGCCGCAGAGGACACCGCACTGAGTCTAATTAATCACCTCAGTGCACACAAGACACAAAAGTTGTATTCTGACTTTAAACAGAGGAAAAGCTGTTTTTATGATGTAAAGAAGCACACTGTAAAAAAAGCAAGCAAAATAATCCCCCCAAAAATCGCCAAAACAGCAACGCCCCAAAGGTGAAATGTGTTATAACGAGGGCCCACTGTGCAAATATTTAAAGTTTGTCTTCTCTGTGTCTCTTTGTTTGTAGAAATTCAATACAAACATTGAATTCACATGATTTTGCTCAAATTGAGATATGATTTTTTTCAAAGGTAAAATGAAGCTAATGCATAGAGCCGAGGCCCGACACAGACTGACTTTTGGCTGATGCAAGCATTTGACAGCTTGTCGGGGTTCACGCGGAGGACACGGTTCAAATCTGGGCTTTCTCAGACACAAACTCGGAGGCAGAAGATGAAAAGGCACCAACAGACTCAGCGTCGGAGAAAAACTACAATATGTCTTTAGTGAGCGACTTTCTATTAAACATGAGCTCCGAGCTTTCGTTCCTTTTCATTTGTACTAGAGCAATTTACGCCAAAGAAAATCTCAGGGCGTTTTAGACTATTGTTTGATGTTGGAGAGGGCTGGTTATTGTGAAGAACTGGATTTAATGAGAGTTGCATTTTCAAAGCAACACGTGCTCGCTCAGGTGGACCTGCGCTTGAACCCACAGTCACATTCACGGCTCTGCATCGTAATGACGACAGAGCCAGAGAGCTGCAGCCGCTGCCTCTGCCCGGGCTCCCTCTTATAGAACATTTAACAACGTGCAAACCGTTTTCCAACAATCACAGGCCGATGAAATGACAAAGACAGTATTACATTGATTTACAAAGTCATCACAACAATCTAATAGTTTTCAGTTTGTTCAAACAGTTTACAGCAGGTGACTCCCAACTTTTTCATCCAGAGAGCTACTTTGCCGGGACGATAAAGGCAGAGAGCTACTCCTTTAAACGGCACTGCGGAAAATGTGACGTGTGAACGAGCCTGATATTAGGTACAGTCGTTATTATTGCATATTTGTTACTAGTGACAAAGTACTGTACAATAATAAATAATGAAAATGAATAATACAATCTGAAATATTAAGTATATTATTTGATTTGTTCATTTCTAAATCCTTTGGTGAGCTACCTGGAAGAGGGTGGCGAGCTACTGGTTGGAGACCCCTAGTTTACTGATTACAGATATTCTTTCAGTGCAGACTTGAAAAGAGATTTACCTTTAATTGTTTAGTAAATGTTGGAGTCTGATCCCACACGGTCAGATAAGATAAGATAGACTTTATTGATCTCACACTGGAGAAATGTACATTCACTTTGGCATAGATAGGATCACTCGGATTGTGCAAAAGACAGAAGTGTGCAAAAATAGAGTCTGTTCAGGATAAATTATGTACAATAAAAAGTGGCTTTTAAGATTCCTCTGTTAATGACAGTTTGTTCTAAAACATTTGACTCCATCCCACTGCAGCCTGGTTTTATACACGCTTCTGTCTTTACTAAAGTCTGTGGCATTGAAACATTTCTGACAATGTTAAAATAATACATCTCTGTCTCTTGTGAGCCGTCCAGACCTCCACACGTGAGCACTGACCTGCTGAGCCAGAGGGGGGCGGGGCTCCGGCCTTCTGCCACTCGGCCGCCTCCATGGCCATCCTCCGCACAAACGTATCGTCCACACACATGAGGATGTTCTCTGGTTTGATGTCTGTGTGGATGATTTTACACTTGGTGTGGAGGTAGTCCAGGCCCTGCAGCACCTGCAGCACACCAGGATCACAACACATTCAGTTTAGTTTAAATAAATGTAAAGTCTGAACAAGAAGCCGATGGAACTCTTGATTGACTCTTTAGGTAAATCAAGTGACCGAAGAAAGACAGAGACCACAGAGAGAGACAGAGACTGAAGAGAGACAGAGACCACAGAGAGACAGAGACCACACAGAGAGACAGAGACTGAAGAGAGACAGAGACCACAGAGAGAGATAGAGACTGAAGAGAGACAGAGACTGAAGAGAGACAGAGACTGAAGAGAGACAGAGACTGAAGAGAGACAGAGACTGAAGAGAGACAGAGACCACAGAGAGAGACAGACACCGAAGAGAGACAGAGACCACACAGAGAGACAGAGACCACACAGAGAGACAGAGAACACACAGAGAGACAGAGACCACAGAGAGAGACAGAGACTGAAGAGAGACAGAGACCATAGAGAGACAGAGACCACACAGAGAGACAGAGACTGAAGAGAGACAGAGACTGAAGAGAGACAGAGACCACAGAGAGACAGAGACCACACAGAGAGACAGAGACCGAAGAGAGAGACAGAGACCACAGAGAGACAGAGACCACAGAGAGACAGAGACCACAGAGAGACAGAGACCACACAGAGAGACAGAGACCACACAGAGAGACAGAGACTGAAGAGAGACAGAGACTGAAGAGAGACAGAGACCACAGAGAGACGGAGACCACAGAGAGACAGAGACCACACAGAGAGACAGAGACCACACAGAGAGACAGAGACTGAAGAGAGACAGAGACTGAAGAGAGACAGAGACCACAGAGAGACAGAGACCACACAGAGAGACAGAGACCACACAGAGAGACAGAGACCACAGAGAGAAAGAGACCACACAGAGAGACAGAGACCACAGAGAGACAGAGACCACACAGAGAGACAGAGACCACAGAGAGACAGAGACCACACAGAGAGACAGAGACCACAGAGAGACAGAGACCACACAGAGAGACAGAGACCACAGAGAGAGACAGAGACCACAGAGAGAGACAGAGACCACACAGAGAGACAGAGACTACAGAGAGAGACAGAGACCGAAGAGAGAGACAGAGACCACAGAGAGACAGAGACCACACAGAGAGACAGAGACCACAGAGAGACAGAGACCACACAGAGAGACAGAGACCACACAGAGAGACAGAGACCACAGAGAGACAGAGACCACACAGAGAGACAGAGACCACAGAGAGACAGAGACCACACAGAGACCGAAGAGAGAGACAGAGACCACAGAGAGACAGAGACCACACAGAGAGACAGAGACCACACAGAGAGACAGAGACCACAGAGAGAGACAGAGACCACAGAGAGAGACAGAGACCACACAGAGAGACAGAGACCACACAGAGAGACAGAGACCACAGAGAGCGACAGAGACCACACAGAGAGACAGAGACCACAGAGAGCGACAGAGACCACAGAGAGAGACAGAGACCGAAGAGAGAGACAGAGACCACAGAGAGACAGAGACCACACAGAGAGACAGAGACCACAGAGAGACAGAGACCACACAGAGAGACAGAGACCACAGAGAGAGACAGAGACCACAGAGAGACAGAGACCACACAGAGAGACAGAGACCACAGAGAGACAGAGACCACACAGAGAGACAGAGACCACAGAGAGACAGAGACCACACAGAGAGACAGAGACCACACAGAGAGACAGAGACCACAGAGAGACAGAGACCACACAGAGAGACAGAGACCACACAGAGAGACAGAGACCAGACAGAGACAGAGACCACAGAGAGACAGAGACCACACAGAGAGACAGAGACCACACAGAGAGACAGAGACCACAGAGAGAGACAGATACCACACAGAGAGACAGAGACCACAGAGAGAGACAGAGACTGAAGAGAGACAGAGACCACAGAGAGACAGAGACTGAAGAGAGACAGAGACCATAGAGAGACAGAGACTGAAGAGAGACAGAGACCACAGAGAGAGACAGACACCGAAGAGAGACAGAGACCACACAGAGAGACAGAGACCACACAGAGAGACAGAGAACACACAGAGAGACAGAGACCACAGAGAGAGACAGAGACTGAAGAGAGACAGAGACCATAGAGAGAGAGAGACTGAAGAGAGACAGAGACCATAGAGAGACAGAGACTGAAGAGAGACAGAGACCACAGAGAGAGACAGAGACTGAAGAGAGACAGAGACCACAGAGAGAGACACTCCATGTTTTGAAACGTTTCTGCTGCTGCTGCATTTCTTACAGACACTATTGTGTTGTTTCTGTGCTCGGAATTCTCTCTTCCATTTGTTCTCATTTACTGAACCTGAAAATGAAGGTGACATTTGATAAACGCAGAGATCAGAAGCTGCTTGTCCTCACCTGTCGGATGATGCTCTTGACGCACGGCAGCGGCAGACCCTGGTAGTTAGATTTGATGATCCACTTGAGCAGGTGGTGCCCGAGCACTTCAAACACCATACACACATCTGACCCACAGTCAAGGATCAACACGCTTCAGAATCATCAGCACAGTTTATTCTTACCCTACTTGGCCCTAATCTACTCTATCTGGAGAGATCCTGACAGACTTCTGAAGCTAAGCAGGGCAGGGCCTGGTTAGTACTGTGATGGGAGACCTCTTGGAACACCAAATGCCACAGTGGGGCGGCTGTGGCTGTAAAGTGCCAAACTATCATTGTGTCTTTAGGCAAGACACTTCAGCCACATTAGAATGAGTCTGGTGTGTGAACGGTTGGTGGTGGTCGGAGGGGTCCATGGCACATACTGGTTGCCTCACTTCTGTCAGTGTGCCCCAGGGCAGCTGTGGTTGAGTGAATGAATGATGACATGAAAAGTGTCTTTGAGAGTCCAAAACAACGCTATATAAACTGTCTTGGCTCTACTCTACCTGGTTACGTTTCCATTACACTTTAGTATCTGGTACCCAACAAACCAATATACGTAGAATTTCTTTGGTAACCATGTCTTCAAGCAGCATTCCCAATTTCAGCTCGAAGCAAAACTTTAGAACCAGCTTGGTCTGAATAGAAATAGGGCCAAGAGGGACTGAAAAAAGTACCCGGCACCAGTTAACCAGGGCCAGTGGAAATGCTCCAAATCTATGGAGCTATTATTGTTTCAATAATATTTGTGTGTGCGTAAACAGATTTGTGTGTGCGTAAACAGATTTGTGTGTGCGTAAACAGATTTGTGTGTGCATAAAAAGATTTGTGCGTGCGTAACCAGATTTGTGTGTGCGTAACCAGATTTGTGTGTACGTAACCAGATTGTGTGTACGTAAAAAGATTTGTGCGTGCGTAACCAGATTTGTGTGTGCGTAACCAGATTTGTGTGTACGTAACCAGATTGTGTGTACGTAAAAAGATTTGTGCGTGCGTAACCAGATTTGTGTGTGTGTAAAAGAAATATTTGTGCGTGTGTAAATAGATTTGTATGTACGTATCAAAATGTGTGTGTGCGTAAAAAGATTTGTGTGTGTGTAAAGAAAAAAAAAGTACGTTTTTCGCACAAGTTTTTTTTTTTTACACACGAATCTTTTGACGCAGTCTTGCCTTCGCAGATTCGCAAGTAACTTGGACTGTGTGTGTGCGTAAACAGATTTGTGTGTGTTTAATTTGACATTTGTATCTGTAACAGAACAATCTGTGTGTAAATAACCACGTTGTACGAAGAGAAGAACGGAAAAAGCCTAAGTGCTACGCACAGGCTCTGTTTTACACACAAATCTACTCACACCTCTGCCGCTTAGCGTGTGTCAAAAAGATTTGTAAGTGTAATGTGGTTGTTCTAGCAGTACACCAGCAGATGGTGCTGTTGTAGCTGGTTATACACGCAAGCAAACCAGCAGAGTTTGTAGCACTATAGTGTAGATAGAGAAAACCGAGGGATTTAAGAAGAAAAGTTCAGGATGACAAGGAACACAAAAATTCCCACAAAATCCAACTTTTATGAAAGCTGTAGGTTCTCTGTCAGCTGTTTTAGTTTACTTTGAGTTCTATGGGGAAAATGTCTGTGTAGCCCACGTAAATTTAGTCTGCAGTACGCGAGAATCCCTCAGCTCCAAGCTAGGAACACCCTATCCAGTTATTATAATAGATCCATGTATAATACAGTGGTGGGAATGACAGGATTTTGAATATAGGAAAAAAATATCATAAACAGCTGCGGTAGTGTGTCTTGTCAAGGCAGTAGGTTTTGGTTTGCTTGCCTGTAGGTAATAACCATGGATCTATTATAATAACTGGATAGGGTATTACAGCTTGTAGCTGAATAACTCAGAATGTGCTCAGGGGATTCTCGCGGTACTGCGAACTGAACCAGACTAAATTCACGTGGGCTACCCAGAAATTTTCCCCATAGAACTCAATGCATATTAAAACAGCTCGACCTCAGCTGAAAGAGAACCTACAGCTTTCATAAAAATAGTATTTTGTGGGGATTTTAGTGTCCCTTGTCATCCTGAACTTTTTTTCTTCTTAAATCCTTCGGTTTTGTTTAAATCCACACTTTAGTGCCACAAACTCTGCTCCTCTGGCTCTCGCTCTAACTCGGTGTGAGACCCACACACGCGTGTTTGACGCAACGCATTATGGGAGATCATCCACTGCACAGAACCGGGAGGACCAGACGATGCCCAAATACAGGCGAGTTTCCCATAGATCTTTGCGAGTTTCCCATAGATCTTTGCGAGTTTCAGGCAACTTCCGCTAATCTTTCAGTCCCCATGCCGTCACAAAGCGCCACTGAGCACAACCATTCATTTGAATAGGGCGCCATCTTGAATCGCCGGGGCTTGGTAATAACCAGCTACAACAGCACCATCTGCTGGTGTACTGCTAGAACAACCACATTACACTTACGAATCTTTTTGACACACGCTTGGCGGCAGAGGTGTGTCAAAAAGAGATTTGTGTGTAAAACGGAGCCTGTGCGCAGCACTTAGGCTTTTTTCCGTTCTTCTCTTCGTACAACGTGGTTATTTACACACAGATTGTTCTGCTACAGATACAAATGTCAAATTACACACACACAAATCTGGGTACAGACGCACACAGTCCAAGTTACACTTGCGAATCTGCGAAGGCAGGACTGCGTCAAAAGATTCGTGTGTAAAAAAAAAACTTGTGTGTAAAACTTACTTTTTTTATCTTTACACACACACAAATCTTTCTACGCACACACAAATCTTTTTACGCACACACAAATCTTGATACGTACATACAAATCTATTTACACACGCACAAATATTTCTTTTACACACACACAAATCTGGTTACGCACGCACAAATCTTTTTACGTACACACTAATCTGGTAACGCGCACACAAATCTGGTTACGCACGCACACATCTTTTTACGCACACACAAATCTGTTTACGCACACACAAATATTATTGAAACAATAATAGCTCCATACAAATCGGGGTAGAATAGAGTTGAATAGAGTGGGTTAGGGCCAAGTAGGGCTGGTGGAAACAGGGCTACAGTTACAGTTGTTATAAAATGGTGCTTGGTTTATGGCGGGACATGTTTGTTTGGTTCTGACCAGGATACGAATGCCGTTGACTCCAGAGATCTTGAAGTCGTCGATGAGTTGAACAACCATGTCTTTGTTTGGGTCGTCTGGGTCGCTCTCTCGCACCTGCGGCACAGAACCAGAGTGAGAGACGGGGAGGCTGAGTTTACACGGAGACAATGTGGCAGTAAAACGGTATAGTTGGATGTCGGTTTCTACCAACCGTTCATACGAAGACTGTGTTCCAGGGGGGTGAAAACGTAAGTGTTCAGATCCAGCCTGCAGAGTGGGACAACTCAGATACGCTGCACAGCGGGGGCTCTTTCACACCCGCGAGAGGGGAAAAGGTGTGAAATCCCCCTCTGCTCTGACCCCCGCCTCCGCGCTGCTCCCCGCACGTAAATTTGGACATGCGCAGTAGCGGAGAACAAACATAAACAACAATGGCGGCGGTCACACTAACTAGCTACGTGAGCTTCCAGCGCGGCACAGAGGATAATTCTACTCCTTCGTTCGTCCAAACGAGACCACGCAAAGCTCTAGGTTCAGTTCCCATTTTCACAGATGCTGTTAAAATGCAGAATGATGTTGGTGCGTTCTGAGGGTCTGGCACAGGAAGTGAGTACACTGCAGAGAGGGGGGCTGGGCACGGGGCTGGGGGTCGTGTGAGTGTTGTAAAGTTTCTCTGCCCCCTACTGGCCGGGCGCTAGAACTACATCGTTTTTCAACCTCATGTGAACGCTGAGAAATTTGCATTAGGAGCCAGGTCGTTTCTGTTAATAGCCTGGAAACGTCTGCGCAGCGTCTCAGTATAAACAGGGCCGGAGACCACAGTGACCAGAGAGAGAGACAGAGACCACAGAGAGATAAGAGACCACAGAGAGACAGAGACCACAGAGAGACAGAGACCAGAAAGAGAGACAGAGACCACAGAGAGACAGAGACCAGAGAGAGAGAGACAGAGACCACAGAGAGACAGAGACCACAGAGAGACAGAGACCACAGAGAGACAGAGACCAGAGAGAGACAGAGACTACAGAGAGACAGAGACCAGAGAGAGACAGAGACCACAGAGAGACAGAGACCAGAGAGAGAGACAGAGACCAGAGAGAGAGACAGAGACCAGAGAGAGAGACAGAGACCAGAGAGAGAGACAGAGACCAGAGAGAGACAGAGACCACAGAGAGACAGAGACCAGAGAGAGAGACAGAGACCAGAGAGAGACATAGACCGCAGAAAGACAGAGACCAAAGAGAAACAGAAACCGCAGATAGAGACGGAGAAGACACAGAGACAGAGACTTGTAGGAACAGAAACCACAGAGACTGAGAAGACAGAGAGAGACAGAGACCACAGATAGAGAAACAAAAATTACAGAGAGAGAGAGACAGAGACACTGGTACACAATAGTCATAGTTTTAAAAAATGGATTAATACCTATATTTAACATGTTTTCTGCATACTTTTTGACATATTTTTGCCTCATTCCTGAACTGTGAAGATTGACTCTTACTGGAAGATTTAAAGACTCTGGTCTGTTGCTAACAAACTCAACCCACTCTTGTCCGCTAGCTCTGTTCTGATTGGTCAGAACGAGCACGTGGTTACTCTGGTCCTACTGCACAAGACCAGGAGAACTAGGGCTGACCAGAACCTGTCACTTCGGCTAATGTTAGGGACGAGCCAATGAGCGCAGAGTTAGAGCCACTGATTTGTGAAGACAGACAGATGTTGGAGACCTGGGCCTTGGGGAAACCATAACAAAAGCTGCACAAACACGTACACATCTCAGCAGCTTGATCTCGTCCAGAGCCGTCTCCGTGTAATGCTGGGCGCTCTTCACCACCTTCATCGCCACAAAGTTCTTGGCTCTGAAAACAAAGAGAACAACTCAGGATAAAATCCACTGTGACGTCACGGACACATGTTGGCAGTGGATCGATCACCGGTTGTGGCATTTCCCATTGACTCCTGATATTCAACTCCATTTATTTCTCTATAGCTCTAAACCAGTAGCTCGCCAACCCCTTTCAGGTATTATTACATATTTTAACTATACATGTTTTCATTGTGTTCACTAATGTAGGGTTTAACAGTATTACGGTAAATTTTACATGAGTGTTGCCCATAATTTTCCGCATTACATAGACTACAGTTTTATTGCCAAAGAAAAGTATAGCTCTCTGCCATTTTTGTTGCGTAAAAGTAGCTCTCCAAACAAAAAAGGTTGGAGACCCCTGCTCGAAATCATATACGCTCTGTGTTCTCGACCCACGGACACATGGGGCTCTTGAGCTGTGCCACAAACAATGTTCAGTGCAGGGTGAAACCACTTTTGTTTTGTTTAAGAATTAATGCACATTTATCATCCTTTTAAAAGGGCGTAGAAAAAACAATTCAATATTCAAACATAATTTCCATATTAACAAAAAATAATATAATTAGAACGAATATTAGAGAGCCCTTAGTATTAGAATGTTATACTAACATGATTTTTGTGTGTATTAGCTGCAAATGTTGATATCCTTTTCTATAAATGGTCAGAACATTGGTTTTATCCGTACGCACAGGGGCGTGGACGTACGACTGCTGCCGCCAGTTATTACACGCTTGTTTATAAGAAAAGCGGAGACGGAATCTGATCTAAATTAAGAACATGGGGTGTGCAGCGATTCTTCTAAAAACAAAATTGATTACCTGCACTGCCCTCTGCTGGACAAAATAACAGCCACTACAGTATATAAGAAAAGTGATACCTAAGAAGATTTTACAAACATTTTAGAATATATTTAAATTTTAATCTTAAAGGTATATAGGAGGACTTATAAAAAAAAAAATTGAAGAAAAAAAAATAATTGAATTGAACTCATTAACTGCCTCATACATGACTTCACTCTAAATATCTCTGCAGTATTAGTGTTTTTCTCTATTGATTAAAAAACAAAAATGTCGCGTGCGTCACTTTAACACGTCCCAAGGTCCAATTAAGCTGCGTAATACTTCCACGTCAAATACAAAGGACGAGTCGTGCCGGGTCTCGTTCACACTGCCCACACCGCTAACGTACGAGAGCGGCGTTTTGTGCTCAACATATTCGTGATGTAACACCTGCAGAACAAGGCTGCGGAATGTCTTTGTGGTTTTAACATTAGACATGAAGAAAGACTCGAGGATTATACAAACTCTTAAGCCCCGTTTCCACCAGCCTACTCTACTCTACTCTACTCTACTCTACTCTACTCTACTCTGTCCTGTTTCACCAGTATTTGGAGATTTTTTAGTTGCTTGGTCCTGGTTCTATCCAGGCCGAGCAGGTACTAAAGTGTTCTAGCTGCCTGTGATTGCTGGAAGCCATGGTTACCAGTAGAGTAGAGTAGAGTAGAGTAGAGTCAAGAAGAGTAGAGTAGAGTAGAGTAGAGTCAAGAAGAGTAGAGTAGAGTAGAGTAGAGTCAAGAAGAGTAGAGTAGAGTAGAGTAGAGTAGAGTAGAGTCAAGAAGAGTAGAGTAGAGTAGAGTCAAGAAGAGTAGAGTAGAGTAGAGTCAAGAAGAGTAGAGTAGAGTAGAGTCAAGAAGAGTAGAGTAGAGTAGAGTAGAGTAGAGTCAAGAAGAGTAGAGTAGAGTAGAGTCAAGAAGAGTAGAGTAGAGTAGAGTCAAGAAGAGTAGAGTAGAGTAGAGTAGAGTAGAGTAGAGTCAAGAAGAGTAGAGTAGAGTAGAGTAGAGTAGAGTCAAGAAGAGTAGAGTAGAGTAGAGTAGAGTAGAGTCAAGAAGAGTAGAGTAGAGTAGAGTAGAGTCAAGAAGAGTAGAGTAGAGTAGAGTAGAGTCAAGAAGAGTAGAGTAGAGCAGATATATGATATAAATAGTACAGGAAATAAAATTCAAAACCATAACTTTATTGAAAACACAAAAGACAGCTGTTGTGCTTTGAGAAGTGAGGCTTATTACTGCGATTATATGTCTTGCTTTGTGTTTTTATCTGTTTGTCTTATCCTGGAACATTAGTCCGCAATAAAAGTTTGATGATGATGATGATGAAGATGATGATGAAGATGATGATGAAATAACTAGCTCTGCATCTATCACTAGTTTTCACATATTTTTGTCACATCTTTAGATCAGCTTTTTCAGACCAGTGAAAAACAGCCAGCTCTCAGTTTGTATAGAATGGAGAGGATAACATGTTTCTGACTAAACATGGGGAGGCAGCGTTTCAGATTTATGCAGCTACAACCGGGAACAGTCTTCCTGAAAATATGAGACAGGCTTCTACTCTGACAGTGTTCAAATCCCGGTCCAAAACAGTTCTGTTTAGTTGTGCCTAAAAATGAAGGCCAGTATCTTTACTCTTTTAAAGGCATTTCAATGTTTTAATATAAGCGGTTTTGTAAACTTCTGTTGTGATTTAGGGCTAAACAAGAATACATTGAATTGTTTATTTTCTTGTTATTTTCTTATATAGGAGGATTTTCTACTTCTGGGTGGATCCTCAAGACTGTTGATCCTCCCAAATTGTCCAATAAGACCAGAGTTTTGTTGAATAAGTGGAGAGGGCGGTTCTTTCCTAAACTTATATACCTTTAAGCAATTTGAAATACATTTTTCATTAATTTCTCCCTCACACACCGTTTCAATACAGCACACATTAAAAAACCACCGTCACACCCAACAGAAAACAGTGTCATTAGAATCCCTTTGACACAGACTCTTTGACCATCTCCGAGAGCGTGACATCACCTCCTGCTCTCAGACCCGTCGCCTCTAACGAGTGAGCCGGAGACTAACTCTGGAGGCCCGCGGTAACAGGACTCCATCTGACTGCTTTATTGGCCGCGTTCGTGGAAGCAACACCGGTGAGAGCGGCTAATGAGTTTGTGCGAAGCCGCGAGTCCGGTGGAAGGTCACACGCGCTCTGTCAATCACCGCTGCTGTTGCCGTGCCAACCAAAACAAACAGCGAGAGTGGGGATGTTGTCCTTTGTCAGATGTGTAGTTTTACCATGAAGCACCTCGGATCTGCCAGTGAATCAAAAATGACCCTAAATAATTTTTTTATTCAGTGAATTTTTATGACTTTTCTTAACTTGAACAGCTCTGGGTCATTTAGATCCCTTTAGAGTCCAGCACAAAGTTTAAGCTGGGGCCTGGTACGGGGGGGAGCATCACCTCAAGTTTGAAGCCCCCATAGTGTTAGCATTAATGTCCGACTTGAACATAAGCTAACTCCAGACAATTTCCTCATAAGGACATTTCTCAGTATAATTACTTATATATAAAGATTAAGATTGCTTATTTTTGTCTCATTTAGGAGAGATTTTGTTTGGACTGATGGGTCTAAGCCCAAAATGGTGAGAGACACAAACCATTACTGAGATAGAGGAGTTTAAGTCAATAGGAGCCAGAGTGAGTTGAAGCAAAACTCTGTCAATGAGCACTTCCCTATTGGACTTCATAGAGCTAGCGGGTTAGGTCCATCTATATACAATCTGGATGAGTACGTCGGCGTGAGCGTGACTTACTGTATGTCCCAGCACAACCATACGGTGGAGAAATGTCCCCACCCGAGCTTCCGGATCACATGGTACCTCCCGTTGAACAAATCCCCAATCTTCACCAGATGGTACCCTCCTGTGGAAGATAAAGAAGAGGCGAGATGAAGGTTATGGGCCCTGCCAGTGATAAGCAGCCAATCACATCCCATCCCCTGCAGACAGCGCAGTAAACCAGCAAGGTCATGGAGGCACTACTGTACAAGCATCCAGATTATATTTATGTTGTCGTTACATGAGCCATAAGAGAGGCTTAGATTACACCACCACATGGCATGAAATCTGTGTTGTACGTGTCCCTCATAAAAAAAAGACATACTTAACAAGACATATTTGAGGCCTGACATGTTACGAACACTCGGGCTGAGTCTGGGAACAGCAACACAAATGACCGGGATCTATAATATGTTTTTGTCGTTCACATTTGAGCTTTTAATGACGCGTTTTTACTAACACATGTCGTTATTTGTGCTTTTAAATGGATGGTCTTAGATTATATTATATTATTATTTCATCTACAGCCCGTCCCTCCTTCAAAGTGGGCTTCCCTGAGGTTTCTCACGTCCTCCCACCGGGTTATTAGAGGTTTTTTTTGCCGATCCAGGAGGGTCTGAGGACAGTGGTGATGATCCAGGACCCTCAACATTCAACGACATTTATCGAAATGTATCAAAATTTATAGACAGTGGACTCTGCCCCTTATGGACCAAAGGCTCTACGTGTGTTTGAACCGTTTGATTCTCTGATTTGTCCTCTGAGATAACTACTGTTGTGATTTAGGGCTACACAAGAAAAATGTAATTGAAACCAAACAGAATTGAATAGAACTTATTTAGTGTAAAGTGGTCCTCACTATAACACAGTTCACCTTTTTCTGCTTTGCTGTTGTGCAGTTTAAAATAATTTGAGCGCACACAGCAGCATGAGGATCCCCAGGCTACGAGGCAAATCCATCATCCACGTGGAGCAATATAAACGCATTTGTAAAAGGGAGAACTATGTAAAAGAGAGCAGCGCGTGCAACAGCCAAAACTTTGATGGTAAAAGCTTCAGTCTCGTTGCGCTGTCGTTATAAAAAGTACTTTTCCTTATGTGACTTGTGTGTACGTTTAAAACCTTCCCCTGACCCACATGTAAGACACAAAACAGATCGATACAAGGTCGTAAAGCGGGTTACACGGCGAGTCGTTTTGACACGCCAGCCGGTGTTGCTGAGTTTGTAAAGCTGGGTTTTTCTTTTGACGCTTTTGATTTCATGTGATTCTCAGCCGTCTGATATTGTCCTCAACCTCAGACTGTGTGAGTGAATCCCATAAGAGGAAAGAGACGGGAGAGACCGCACTGTACGGAGCCGGGATGAGATCAGAGGACTACCACGGTCTTGCCCTGGCCTCCGCAGATGTGTTTGATGGAGCAGAAGTAGTTGGAATGACAGCATCTCATCAGCTACGGTACATCAGCGACAGTCCCCACATGGATTCTGGAGGTTCTGAGGTTTACACGGGACAATACAGGTACTGTCGGGGCTAACTTCAACTTTGTACTGCACCTTATTGGGCTGTTTTTTAATGTGGGTTAGGGTTGTGTGCTGGTAACTTGCACTTTTTATGGATTTTACTTTTATTTCATCTTCATTATATCATCATACTTGGCATTCTTGCAATTTGGGTCCTTCATACATTTCACCTCATGACAATTTTTGCTGCTAATTGTAACTTTGTACTGCCCCTTTTTTGACTTTTAATATGTATTTTCGTAACCTCTTGTATGTTTGTATGTTTGTAATTGCCCCTGTTGCTTCATTACCATTGCTGGTATCTCCCTCATGCAGTTGTTGTGTATCCTTGTAAAAAGTATCTTGTCTGTATATGTCCTTAAACCCATTAATGTTTACTTTAAAACTTGAACAGTTTATTTAAATGTGCGATTCGGTCTGTTTTTTGTACTGGAGCAAATAGGAAGCTCAATGAGTAATTTGTTTGAAGGCACTAGGGGTGGGATTAAATAAGTTTTCTTCTTCCCACTCCTTTTCGAGTATCTACAAGTGTTTCTTTTGTGTATATAATATGTATAATTTCAAATTATGTTTATGTAACTCAAAGTTATTTATGTTGTTTTTTTGTTTTTGTTTTTTTGATATTCTACTTTTGTATTTTTTTGTGTTTTTTTTGATATTTTACTTTTGTTTTTTTTGTTTTTTTGATATTCTACTTTTGTTTTTGTTTGTTTATTTTTCTTTTGATATTCTACTTTTGTTTTTTTTGTTTTTGTTTTTTTTAATACCCTACTTTTGTCTATTGGACACTTATTTGCTCGAAATAAACATGGCTAATATTTTATTTAAAAAAAAAAAATGAAATGAAATGAAAAAAAACCCTGCACTTTCTATTCTAACTGTATTTTAACATGCAAGTTATATGATTGTATTGTCAAGGACTACAGATGGAGCCTGGTGCTAAATCTAATGTAGCATCTCTGTCCTTAATAAATTCAACTTAAACTCAAGCACTGCACTGTTGGCCACTGTGAACTTGTGAACTATTTTATTTATTTATTTATTTTTACAGGGACATTGTCCACATAGAACGAAACAAGCTTGAAACTGATGCGATGCAAAAAGCGTTTAGAGCTATTGCTAATTTTCAACTCCAGTCCCTGTTCTGGCCTTTCTACACTACATTTTCCACATAACATAACATTTTCAGTATTATCTTAAAAACTTACCAATATACACAGTTTAAATCATTCACACAAACTCAGTGCTATTTACAAATGTACAAATGGGTACAATTCTGTTTGGATTTCAGCGTGGACTTACCTCTGGACTGTGATTATTCATGATTTTAATGCTTTCTTATTTTGTTCAGCCCTTTGAGTTGCCTTGTGTATGAATTGTGCAGTACAAATAAACTTGCCTTAACTCGAGAAGTGAACATATTAAACTCTGTCATGGTTTTGAATTCAGTGGGTTTTGAGTTCCACAACTTTGCACTTCGATATGTAAATGCAGACTGAACTGTGCTTATGATCTCAATGGCTACTTTGTGTTAGGGGCAGAGGGCCACATGACATGCCACCGAGGGCCACAAATGTCCCACGGGCCTGAGTTTGGACCCATCTGTGTTAAACCATTGTGCATTGGGAATTTATTGGGAAGCTGCTGCTGTTGATATGGCGACGTACTGGTAATGTTATTTATGACTGTGTGTGTGTGTGTGTATGTGTGTGTGCAGTTGATTATTTACTGAGCCTGAGACACACTTCCTCTCCGGGATGAGAAAGTTTAACGCCTGTAACTTTACTGGTTTGGAATTATGCAAAATTATTCAAATTAAAATTCTCACATTACAGTGAAGGGGTTGTAAAGACAGAAGCGGGAGAGAGACTGTCTGACTCTGACCTTTGCAGTAGTCCCCGGGGTCCTCCTGCTCCTCATCGTCCGAGCCAAGGATCTCCTCCTCGGGTTCTGGGGCTCCCACCGGCTCTGGGGGGGGTGGAGGGGGCGGCGGGGGAGGGGGGGTGCTCGCTGGGGCTTTCTGCTGCGTCTCAGGCCTGAAAAACACAGAAGGATCTCAGTTAGGGCTAGGACGATATGGCCCACAGATTGGATAGATAATTTATTGATCTCCTGTAGAACAATACGAGAAGGAAAAATCAAGATAAAGTAATGATTCACAATGATATTAGTGAAAAAAACTATTCAAAACTGTACAACTTTATAAAAAATATACAACAACAACCGCTTCAAAATGTGTCTTAACGCTGTTTTCTTCTATCACTAGTTTTCACATGTCTGAAATTTGGACTCGGCCTCGTCTTGAGATCAGCTACACGAGTAAATTGAAAAGAATTGAGTTGAAAACGAGAGGAATAAGCTTGGAATGTTTTTTGTATGTTGCTAAGAACGAAATGCATTTAGTATTAGCATGAATCAGTGACGCCGCTTTTAAATATGATGAAATATTACAAGTTGTAACACTGGCTACAATGACCTACTGCAATTTCTCCATGATTAAAAAACAAGAACCAGATTTTTGTTGAAAAATATTCACCATGTTTATTCTACAATGTTTGATGAAGGCATGTGGATGTTTTCTAGATGGCGTTTTTAGGTCCTGGCTGGTCAGTTACATTTGTGGAAAAGGGAGCAGAGCCCAGGGGAGGCCCATGCACAAGCCCCTAAAATGCATCTTACTTTTGGCCTGGGCTGCTCACTGCTCCAGGGAGACAGAGGGATCAGGCAGCTCCAGGAAAAGACTGCGTTGGTCCCTGGTTTATCGCGGGGTTCTCGAAATTAAAATGTGAAATTGGTGAAGGAGCAGCAGCAGTTTGTTTTCATGCTAACCACCTGAACTCATGACTGCTGAAGTGCATTCGCGGAGCAATCAAACCTGTTGGTTGTAGGTCTGAGCGCTGCTGCAGCTGTCAAAAGCCTGTTCTTTTATTCCTGCGGTCTGTATAGCAATGCAGCCAATGGAGGAAACAGCTCTATCAGCTGTTTATGTTCATGTGAAATACACAGGACTTTTTTGTGGTCAAGGCTGTTGTCAGAACAGTTTACGTACTTAATTTAATCATTTTGACTCCATGCAGGTTTAGCAGCTATAGGACGTCTATTGTCAACATCGATTGGTAAATAGGACCTGACATGGAAACACACAGCTAATGCTAGCCTTGTCAGAGCTTATTTTGTTATTTACTGTTAGGTTTGTCCAAAACAACACCTCAAAAAATCATCTTATGTCCAATGAAAACAGTCATCTAACTTTGTTTTGCTCTACACGACAATTGCATGTGTATTATTTTTTTTGTATGTTTTTAATCGCAAATTGCTTTATTTTCCTGGTCTGTGAAAGGAGCTATACAAATAAACTTGACTTCCTTCTTACTTACAACATAATATCCTGCAGCTTATATTCAAGTGCGGCCAATATGTGGACAAAATTGAGTTCTGGCCGCTGCGGTTTATATATGTGCACTTGTTAGTCCAGCAACTACTGTAACCCTAACCCTTCAGCCCGATTGCAAGATCACAAAACTGGAATATTTCTGTTTGCCCGGGATGAATAAACAGGATTTTAGCGAGTCCCTATAACCGGTCAGGAATTACTTAAAATATATTTCCACATTACTGTTGCTGCGAGGTTGACAGCTCCTGAAATAATGACCAAATTGACTTGAGTGCAAACAGAACACAAAGCTGGTGCCGGGAGGAGAGCTGTTATAAATTGCAGAAAGAGGCTCAGACACATGATCGAGCCTGTGTTTCCATAGTAACTGGAGACTTGGGGAGTGTGGGGGGGGGGTAAAGGACACTAAGGGTTAATACAGCAACACCGAGGCCAAACACGACAATACAAGCAAGTTATCTAATGCGCAGGGTTACGTGGTATTTGTCGTGCCTATTCCAGTCTTGATATCTCGCTCGCTGAGTTCTATGCTTCGGTAACCACGGCAACAGTTTACACACTTACACTGACAGAGGCAAGGTGGATTACGTGGAACGACACAATAGCAAAAAGCAGTGCTCTTCGGCGACAATGATTTCTGTAACTTTTTTTATATATATAATAGTCATAGTTAGATCATTCCAAGGCCTGACAACTCATGACAGATCGCAATGACAGTTCAAAACAAAAAAAGGTGCCGCAATTACAGCCAAAAAAAACCTATGCAACCGGCAAAAGTCATATAAAAAGGCAAAACAAAAGAGGCTGGATTTTGGTTCCTTGTAATAATTAGTCTAACACTGCTTTACTGTTCGACAATTGAAATTAATAATAAAAAAATTGTAAGGTGAATTAAAGGACAGCCAGTCGGACAGTCGACCGGCAAACAAAGATGTGTAAACATGCCCTCCGAGCATGACCCATCTTGACGCACATCTAAGGGACGGCCAGGTCAACCAGAGGACATCATCCGTCACCGTGGCCATAAGTGTCAACCAAGGCCATAAACTGAGCCCCAGAACAAATATCTTTGTGTCTCTCTGCCTGGCAGAGATCAGAGATCACCCATCTGCTCTCAATCCCGGGGATTCCTGTCCCCGGACACTCTGAGACTCTCCCACGGCACTCTGGCGCCCCCCAGCGGGCACTGAGCACCATCACACCCGGCCCGGACATTCTGTAGACCAGCCTGGACCCAGTGTTATTCCGATAAGTCTGTACCGCGTCCTACATGTGTGTATCAGTGGCAAATAATGAAATGTGGTGTGTGTTTGTACATGTCTTATGATCATTTGCATCAATCCTGTGTGTTTCCTTTACAAACTGTCTGTTGTAAAGGGGTTTGTCCACAGAGGGCAGGGGCGGCATGGACACGCCTCCCCTGGGAAGTCAATATAAACACGAACAATGCCATAGAACTTCCTCTTGTCTTCTCCTGAAATCACCATTCCAACCACCCCGGCCCATCTGCGTCCCGCGGCACGTGTCTCCTACTACGGTCGCGCCTGCACGCATCGGGCCTCCTACTCCGCAAAACACACTCTCCTCGGCTCGGGACCTTATGAACTGTTCATCACCAGCCTCTTTTCCGTGGCTCTGGACTCTACGCACGCAACCCATTCCGGACTGGGCTGCATACGCGTGAATCAGCAGCTGGACCAACTCGCTGGCTTTGTACCTCCCGCCTGCCCAGACAAAGGAACCACGTGGGCCGATTCCCCAACCCAAATCCTTCCTCCATCCTCTACGCTCCTACAAAGTAAGACTGTTCTTGTTAAATGTGTGATTTGAATGAAATGTATGCCACTCCTGCTTTAATGTGACCAGAAATCCCCTTCGTTATATTTTTACCTTCATTTTGTAATCAATAAACCCCTTCTCTTTCCCCTCACACCACTGCCATACTTGTACACAGCCTCGTCACCTCTCGTCTCGACTACTGTAATTCCCTACTGTTTGGTCTCCCTCAAAAAACTCTACATAAACTCCAACTGGTCCAAAATGCAGCTGCCCGCATCATCACACACACCCCCTCCATAAACCACATCACTCCTGTCCTTCAACAGCTCCACTGGCTCCCCATCACCCACCGCATCCAATACAAAATCCTGCTCCTCACATTCAAAGCAATCCACAAGCTCGCTCCTCCATACCTGACTGACCTCCTCCATGTCTCCACACCTGCCCGCTCTCTCCGCTCCTCCTCCTCTCTCCGGCTCACTGCTCCCCCTCCTGCCCATCTCGTCACCATGGGGAGTAGAGCCTTCAGTCGCTCTGCTCCCCAGCTCTGGAACACTCTCCCTCCTGACCTCCGTAACACCGACTCACTCCCACACTTCAAATCCATCCTCAAAACTCATCTGTTTAGACAAGCCTACTCACTGTGACCACAACTGTATGTTTTATTCATGCTGTTTTAACATTGTATTTTAACTGTTTTTAATTGTTGATGTTAATTTACTTGTTGTTGTGAGGCGACCTTGAGTGTCTTGAAAGGCGCCTAAGAAATAAAATGCATTATTATTATTATTATTATTTTCTTTAACTCAATCCTATCAGAGTCGTGTTGTTAGATCTCGGAATATCCCTGGCCGATTTACGAATTAACTACCTTTTAGATTTATAAGACTGACTCGAGGCAAAAGTTGGTTTGGATCTGTCGTAGACCCTCAAAATGTCTACTGGTGCCCAAAATAAATAAGACAGACCCATTGGTGGAACGGCGAGTTTCTGATCCGGAGACTAGCCGCTCCACACTACCAAATTTATACTATAATAACATAATCAGCAATATAAGTAGTTACCCTACAAAATATATATCCTATAACATTTTATATGCGTTCAGCTATTGTACAGATAGAAGAGAACAAGCTATTTCTCCATTGGTCAAACTACTTCTTAATTAATTAATTAATTCTCATTCCTTTTATTGGTCCATTTCTGGGGCGGGGTTGGTGGGTTTTGGAGTTGCCACCTCATTGTCATAGCACCTCACTGATCCTCCTGCATGTTACGACGGCTGCATTAGCTGGGGAATAAGGCAAAGTGGGGCTAAGTGTCTTGCCCAGGGACACAACCACAGCAGGCTCCAGTGGAAGTAGGTGGCATAAGTTGTGGGGGGATCAAACCCACAACCACTAGGTTCAAAGAATGATCTACAAACTGAACCACTCTCGCCCCAGGTCCATACTTCTGTAACTATTCTCACTCGTGTCTTCCTGTAGCCTTCAGTCCTGCTCCTGCCCCTCATTGTCCTCCACAGCCGTATTTTACAGTGTATGCACGGCTTTTGACAGCTGCAGCAGCACTCAGACCTACAGGTTTGATATCTCTGGTCTCTCTCACTTCATCAGTCGTCGAGTTCAGGTGGTTAGAATAGTGTATAAAGTGTGTGTGAGGATTTTACAGCCTTAAAACACACAGCTGCTACAATTATTACTATATGGGTATTTGTTCCGGCGTTCAGACCGTTTGCTAAGATGGTTGCTAAGGCATGCTCGGGTTTCCCCCAAGAATGAAGGCATCTGATTGGTCATTCCTTTAAGGGCTTATATTTGGATTGACAAAAACAATATCAAAACATAAACACCAGGATCAAGTTGACTTAGTTATTGACTGAGAATGTATTCTTCATGTGTGCCCTAATAACCGTGAATGTAAAACGGGCACTCTGAAAGCTCTGCCCAGCGGTTACCCCGGTGTCTGTGGTGTCGGTCGGCTGTCGCTGGGCCGCGTCAGGTCGAGTCTCCCGTCTTTGCTAACGCAGTCACGTCCAGAGGAGTCGTACATCACTTACAGCAGAGACAGCCTTTTATATGAATACACCGCGGCTGCACCAACACTGGGCCTCGAGAACTGTCTGGACGAGCGGCGGGGATAATTATAAACGTACATCGAGCTGAAAAAGGGCAAGAGGATTCTGATGTTTAAAAGGGATTCACTGCAGTCAATAATTCAATATGTGCTTCGTTACAAGGGTCACGATTTCAATCAGATTCGGTGTAAATATGCCGAAAATGTTTTGATTTCTTATGGGTTCAAAATTGGTCTGTCCAATCAGCTGCAAACCCACTTTAAATGTGTATGTTTTCTTATAATAGTCTGTGTAAATGTTCTTTCTGCTTTGTGTGTTTTTGTTTTTCTCAGTGTTATCTCTGCACAATGTCATGTATACTTTATATATACATGTATATAACAGAATACAAGATATTGCACTGTTTCTTGTTTTGTACTTTCTGCTAAATAGGCAAAATTGACAAAATAGTGATCAATCAATAAACAAAATGTAAAAAAAGAAAAAGAAAAAAATTGATAAAATATTAACTAGGGAGTCAAAAAGGCCAAGTTACAACTCAGATCTGTGCAGACAAGGCAAAAACGTATCCATAAAGACAAGGATCAGACTTTCCCGTTACATGTCTCTGCTTCCTCAAACATTGTTGTGACGTACATGTGACAAATCTTATATTTACAGTTGATCGCGCTTCCCCAGAAAGTCCTCCCATCACCACGGCAACAGTCGCCAGTAGCAACGCCAGCATCTTCCTCCCTCCTCCTCCTCCTTCTCCACTGTCAGGACGTGGGATTCAGACTGGGGGCACCTTCAGCCCGGCGTTCCCCTGCTACTGTCTACTCATCGATCCATGCTTATGCTCTTTGATTGCCTGAGTTTTGGCTCGAGTTGGCGGGACAGCTGACTCACTGCTCTCCCCGTCTGCCGGAGTGGAGAAACTGAGATCCCGTACCGCTATTTTTAAGGCTACATGCAGTAAGTTCGACGTGACGACAAGCCGCACTGGCCCGGCGTAACCCCCATTATGGGTTGGCTGCATCTCGTTTCATTCCATAAGACTTTCAATTCAAGGTTCTGCACAATGTAGAGCTTACATAAGGAAGCAGGGAAGTGACGGCAGATCTTACATAATCTTTAATGAAATGTGGCCTTTCAATGGCACTAAAACATGAATAAAGTGTTAGTGCAGATGTCTCAAAATGAAACTCGTCAAGAGCTGTGAGTATTGCCTCGGGCCCCATGGCTTTACTTCGACTTCAAGATGTTATTGTTGAGCTTGGAATGTTTCACAAATCCAGTAATTACGGGCATCACAGAGGTATCCCTATCTCCACCATGGATGTATGATAATATATGGATAGGGTGTTGCTGCTTAAACCCATTTCCAAATGGACTAGAGGCCACTCATAGTACTGCAGCTTAAATTGACATGGGCTTAGACATTAATGTTAACTCAAACAGTCAGATTTTGTGAGTTTTTTGAGCCGCTTGTCATCGTGAACTTTTTTTGTTTAAAATCCATCGGTTTTCTATAAATCCACACTTAAGTGCAACAAAATCATCTCGCTCTCGTCCTGCTCGAGCTCAGCTATGATCAGCAGCGCTCTGATTGGACAGAACGCTCACATGTTACTCTGGTCCTGCGGAACTAAGCTGCACACCTACAGAACAAGACCAGGAAGACCAGAACGTGTCACTCCTGGTAATGTTTGGGACGTCCATGGTTCGAGCATGCACCATTGAGCACTGGCCATCGATGTGAAAGGGCAGACATCTTGGCACCTGAAAGTTTTGCAATAACTTCTTCTAAATAATTGTCCTTTTCCAGTGAGTCCAGTCATTACCTGGAGACCTGAGGAAATGGTGTGAAGTCTGTTGTGCTCCTGCTTAGTTGGAATAAAAACCTGCAGCCATTTTCAGGTTAGAGGCCCCAGTATATGTGTAAGACAAATGTGTAAGTAAAATAACCTACATAAGTAATTCAATTGCATGTCCGAGGCGATTCTTTTTATCACTCTTAAAATAAAAATAATGCTTTTTTGGACAGTCAAAGATGTCTTTCTGCATTCACTCCATACACAATGGTGATAAACACACTTCATATATCACACATTTCAATGCCTTGTGTGATATTAATGTTTATTTTCTTGTCTTTATAAGCACTTTGAGTTGCCTTGTGTATCAACTGCGCTACACAATTAAACTTTTCTTGCCTTTCCGGAGTGTGTCTTACTATGCCTTGGCTTCTGACTTTGTGAACTTGTGTGTGTTAGTGCTATGTCTCCTCCACCAATGTATTTATAAATCAATATCTTTATAATACTATACAACTGTACATTTTGATAGTATTTCAAACCAACAAGCTACAGCAGGCAACATAAACAACCACAAAATGAACCAGACCCCAGATGACAGAGAAAGAGAAATTTACTCTGACTCTGTACCCACTGTTAGATCGTGCTTCTCACTGACCAGCCGAGCCGAGCCGAGCAACAAAAGCAAATTTCGACCACAAAATCATAGCTGCCCCAAACTGGGATGTTACAGTTCTAAAAATAAGTACAGCGGTCGGAAAGAAAACAAGGGGAATGCATTAAAACATCAGCCTGGTGCAGTTGGTTCTCAGATCATGAGGTACATAGAGAAACAAGAACACAGCTGTGAGATTTGACATAATACACATAGAAAAAGCTTCAACAGGCGTCAGGAGAGAGAAGGATCAACGTGTCCTACTCCGAATGCAGAGATAATATGGATTTGAACATCAATACTACTTACAACTCAAGAACCCAATACGCTTTCTTAAGCATATAAAAGGAGACATGTTTCTCCCTCATCAGTCACAGACCCGGAGCTGTGTTTAGATCCCCCCAAGCTAATATCAGGAACGTGACACACACGTAACTCCGCCCCTTCTGTCTAAAATCTTGTGTCTACGGCCGGCAAAAGTATATCATTTTACCACTATGACGTCATACACAGAGCGGTTTTCTGTTGTTTAGAACAAAAGTTTTGGCAACATATTAAGTGAAACTAAGTCTTTAACACACACAGGACAGTCATTTTCATCCCAGTTAAAAAATTGCAGTTAAAAAAACAGCAGTATGTATAGACACAACCAGGGACAGGAGATGAAAATCAGAATTAGCTACACACTCCGTATGTGTCTCATCAGTGGCATCTTTCATGCTGTAACTATGTATGACTCATTGTCCCTGTCAGATCAATATATAAATATACAATAAACAACAAGGTACATACAGTACATTGTCCAAAGTGCAGAACAAGAAAGTACATTGCACATGCCTATAAAAAGTGCTAATTACCAGAGCGTCCTCCATAAACCAGTGCACTCACCAAACATTAGACATACATGACACATACTTTAGACATACATGAGACATACATGAGACATACTTTAGACATACATTAGACATACATGACACATACATGACATACATGAGACATACATGACATACATGAGGCATACATGAGACATACATGAGACATACATGAGACATACATGAGACATACATGAGACATACTTTAGACATACATGAGACATACATGAGACATACATGACATACATGAGACATACATGAGACATACATGAGACATACTTTAGACATACATGAGACATAAATGAGACATACATGACACATACTTTAGACATACATGAGACATACATGAGACATACATGAGACAGTAGATCCACATGAAGCTGCAGCTGGAGACACAGATCACCTCTGGTCATGTTCCTCTCTGTCCCACATGGTACCATTTCTGGTACCACCAGAAACATTTATAATTCATGTACTTTGTGTTTGTTTTGGATGTGTTTCTGCAGCTGGTCACCTGAATTTCTCAATAAAGCCTCTATCTGTCTATTTAATCTATCTCTATAAATGTATATATTCATTCTTTTAATATTGATTCAGCGACTGTAACAAACTAAAACAATAGTTAATAGTAACTAGTGTTTGCTACTTTTAGAATTATGAATGTATTTGATTTGTTTGAATGGATGGATGTGTTTCTGCCTGAATTCCGCCTGCAGGGATCAATAAAGTACCTATCTATCTATCTATATTAATACAGCTGCCATGGCATGTTATACATCATTTTAAAGCTAATTCCATCAGAGATACTGCACTTGGTTGGTTTCATTCTTATCTTTTAGACAGAACCTTTGCGGTCACCATGGGTGATTTTACCTCCTCAACAGCCCCCATTACCTGTGGTGTGCCGCAAGGTTCTATTTTAGGTCCCATTTTATTTTCTATTCATATGCTCCCCCTAGGACACGTTATGGCCCGTCATAACGTGTCCTTCCACTGCTATGCGGACGACACACAGATCTACCTCCCGCTGAGACCAAACGACCCTGGAAGTCTGGCTGCCGTGGTCGACTGTTTTAACGATGTGAACCGTTGGATGGCCCATAACTTTCTACAGCTCAACAACTCCAAATCAGAAGTCCTCCTCATCAACCCGCCTCCATCTATATCCCACATCCAAACCCACCTCGGCCCCCTATCCTCAAGCATCACTCCCTCCGCCCGTAACCTTGGTGTCATTTTCGATTCTCACCTCACTTTCCGCTCCCACATCAATAAAACCCAAACCTGCTTCTATCACCTCCGCACAATCTCAAAGATTAAAAACATCCTCACTCCTCCCGATCTCCATAAAGTTGTCAACGCCCTCATCTTCTCCCGCCTCGACTACTGCAACTCCCTCCTCTCCAATCTTGACGCTAAATCCCTCTCCCGCCTCCAACTGGTCCAGAATTCAGCAGCCACACTTGTCACTGGTTTTAACAGAAGGGAGCACATCACCCCTGTTTTAGCGTCTCTCCACTGGCTCCCTGTGCGTTTTAGAATTGATTTTAAGATTTTACTGATTACTGTTAAAGCTCGTTTAGGTCTGGCACCAAGCTATATTTCTGAACTTTTAACCCCCTACGAGCCCTTCCCCCGCAGCCTTAGATCCTCGG